TAAAAACACGAATACGCCCCTATACATGGAAACCAAAACCGATGCAAAAATACGGACAACAAAAAGAAGACATCGACACATTCTAAAAGTTGATATATTATATCCATCCCTAGTTAAAACATAATATGAACTCACCATCTTTTCCAACTTCGTCTCCTATTTCTTTCCACATTTTTTGTAACGCGTATACATTTTTATGCAACGCATGCTTCGGATTCCATATTGCCTCTCGTTTAAAAACGGCGGTGATAATTTCTTCTTCCATTGTGTTTATGCAGATAACCCTCGGAGTTGTCTGAACAAGCGAGGCAAAACGCAACGCAAAACCAACACATCGCGTTTTCCACCGCTCCGCATAGTATAACGTAAGGCACAGCGCGTAGCGCCATGCGCGCGGTCTGAACACATTCATTTAAAGCTGTGTTGTCGTTCCTCTCGCTTCCTACTGGGCTGTAAAGCAAAGCGCACAGCTCCAAGCGAAGCGCGTTTGATGTAAACGTGCACTAAATCAAATCATGGCCCCATCCCTTGTTCGATCTACTACATAAACAAAACAGAATAAATATAAATTAAATCGGATTCAAGTAAAGGGAGGATCTAGCGCCATCTAATATTAAACTTGGTAATCATTGCAGTAGCGTTTAGAAAAAACTACTTAAAATTATTTTGTGGTAATGTTTTTAATATTATAACGGCTGATTCTTTGAATCCTCAAATGTTGTTATATTTTTCTGGGCAGATTATTACAATTATTCATATTTCTGATGAGTTCTGCTCTAACCGTGGTCCGCAGCGGTCGTGTCGAACAGCCGAAGTGAAGAGACTTTTTTTTTGTGGTAAAGTGAAAAAAGACAATTGTGTGTTTATGCGAGAGATTTCTTGGTCAAGAACGGAAGGTCGCTCCGAATAAAAAAACAAAACAATGCTGCCAGCTGGTAATGGTCTCGGATCAAATAATGAGGTACAGCCAAGCAATATACAGGGAGAGCCAAATACATCAATGTCTGTAGATACAGCAAATCAATACTTGTACAGAATGTCATCAAGTAGTGAAGAAGAACAGAGTGGAAATACGTGGCAAAACATCAGTAGCACAAAACGAAGAAAAATAAACAGCAATCAATGCACAGAAACCCAAAAAGTGACTGTAAATAATAGGTTCAGCCCATTAACCATCGAAGACGAACCAAGCCAGAACACAACGATGAAAAAGGTGCCCAGACCACCGCCCATATTTGTATATGGTCAATAAATTATCAGAAATAATAGCAGAGGAACCGTACATCACAAAAAGCATGCCAGACAACATAATAAAAATTAATTGCAATACTCCAGAGACATATAGAGCATTGGTCCGGTTCATGACAGAAAATAAAATAGTATATCACACATACCAGCCCAAGGGAGAACGAGCCTTCAGGGTAGTAATAAAACACCTGCACCATACAATTGCTATAGATGAGATTAAGGAAGAATTAGAGAAAAGAGGACATCAAGTGAGGAACATCATGAATGGCAGGTACAGAATAACCAAAGAACAATTAAATATGTTTTTCGTTGATTTGGAGCCAGCAAGAAACAACAAAGATATTTATGACCTGACAGTTCTACAAAACAAAGTGATTTATGTAGAGCCACCAAGAACCCAGCAAGGCCCGATCCAATGTATGAGGTGCCAGCAGTATGGTCATACAAAAACCTATTGTAAGAGACCATTTGTCTGCGTTAAGTGTGGATGGCCACATAGCACGTCCAGTTGTAGGAAAAGCAAAGATATCCCTGCCAAATGTGCACTATGTGATGGTCCACATCCGGCCAATTATAAAGGATGCGAGTTCTACAAAAAACTGAAAAATCCTAACAGTCCTAACAACAGACTAAATCTTCAAAGAAACGGAACGACGAGAGCTGAACCTACTACAACGAACCAACCTACAGCAGCAATCCAGTCAACCCAAAGATCTTCACACGCGCAACCAAATATAAGTTAATATCAGGATACCAAAACAACATCCAACAAGCAGAAGAACAGGCAATGTCCCTGAGCAAGTTTCTCCAAGAGTTCAAGGTGATGTTTGATCAGCTTATACCACAAAACAGCATGATTTTAAACATGCTATCTACACTGTTGCATTGTGGAATGCCAACGGTCTTCTGCAGCACAAACAAGAAGTAAAATTGTTTCTTGAGCAAAATAGGGTGGATATTCTTCTGGTGGGTGAAACACGTTTGACTGATAAGTCTTATTTCAATATTCCACATTACAAAACCTATCACACCAATCACCCTGATAATACTGCGCATGCTGGAACAGCGATCATAATAAAGTCCAACATCAACCACTACGAGTTGCCAAAATTCGAGAAAGATTACCTGCAAGGTACAGCAATTAGTGTACAAATGACATCTTAGCAGTTAGCAGTCGCTGCAGTATATTGCCCACCCGGTCATAACAATAAGGAAGCAAATTTTGCAGAATTCTTCAAATCCCTAGGCTCCAAGTTTATTGCCGGTGGTGATTACAATAGTAAACATACTCTCTGGGGATCACGTTTGATTACACCTAAAGGTAGAGAACTCGCCAAAACAATACAAAAAGGAAACTACCATTATCTGTCCACAGGATCGCCAACATATTGGCCCACAGATCCACAGAAAATACCAGATCTTCTTGATTTTTTCATTACTAATGGAGTATCCCACACGTATACGAATGTTTCACCAAGCTACGATCTCTCATCAGACCACTCCCCAATAACAGCAACTATAAGCTCTTCACCTATATTCAGACCGCCACCTCCTAGACTACATAACAAATCTACAAGCTGGAATAGGTACAAAGGCAGATAAATGAAATGATCAATTTGGATGTGACTCTGAAGACACCACAGGATATCGATGCAGCCCTGTCAAACTTCATTGAAATATTAGTACAGGCAGCATCCCAATCTACGCGTCATCAAAGTCCTGTACAGTACAACCAAGCTACTGAGAAGTTGAAGGGTGAGATCAAAAAACTCAATGATATTTCCATGCAAGTGTATGTCACTAATCTTAATAGATTTGACCATTCGATCTGGAGACCCATAAAATCTTCGAATAAACCCAAAACACCTGTGTCGCCTGTACGAAGACCGACAGACAATGCTCCGCAACAATGGGCGCGTAGCGATAAAGAAAAAGCACACTTATTTGCACAATACCTGGCTGATGTATTTTGTCCTAATGACGATATACCGGATCAAGAAATAGTCGAACAGCTTACCAACTTACCATCCCATTACTCAGCAATCAAACTGCTCACCCCAAAACAAGTGAAAAGTGAAATAAATAACCTATTTATCAAAAAAGCACCTGGTATTGATAAAATCATTCCAAAAATGATGAAAGAACTACCAAACAAAGCAATACTGATGTTAATGTACATATACAACGCAATCCTCAGACTCAGTTATTGGCCTGAACAACTGAAGACTGCAGATATTATACTTATACCAAAACCAGGGAAGGACCCAAGAATAACTTCATCCTATCGACCAATAAGCTTATTATCAATAGTCTCAAAGATTCTGGAAAGATTACTGCTACGTAGGATTAATAACGATTTACCAGAAAAAAACTGGATTCCCAACCATCAGTTTGGATTTCGGAGTGAACACTCTACCATACAGCAATCACACAGAATGGTACACACAATCGATTCAGCACTAGAAAATAAACAGTACTGCACATCAGTATTTTTGGATGTAAGTCAGGCGTTTGATAAAGTTTGGCATGATGGTCTGCTGTTTAAAATAAAAACTGTACTACCCATAAAATACTTCAAAATATTGAAGTCGTTTCTAAGTCAACGTAAATTCCGAACTAGAGTAAATGAACAAACATCGAATTTCCATCCTATCAAATCAGGAGTTCCCCAGGGCAGCGTTTTAGGACCAATGTTGTACACCTTGTTCACCGCAGATCTTCCCATTTCCCAAAATACAGTCACAGGCACATTTGCCGATGACACAGTAATCCTTGCCAGCAACAGCGATTCAACGTTAGCTTCGAATTCTCTACAAGATCATCTAGAAATGGTGGAAACATGGATGAAGAAATGGAAGATAAAAATTAATGAAGACAAGTCACAGCAAGTAACCTTCACACTACGGAAAGGGAACTGTTCACCAGTATATATTAATAGCACAGCTGTTCCCCAGTCCATTTCAGCGAAATATCTTGGGCTCCATATGGATAGCAAACTGACGTGGAAACAACATATCATTAAAAAGAAAACAAATACACTTGGGTGTAAAAGAATTATCCTGGCTGCTTGGGAGAAGATCCAAATTATCTCTGTCAAATAAGCTTCTGCTATATAACACCATCATCAAGCCAATATGGGCATATGGAGCAGAACTATGGGGCTGCGCAAGTAAAGCAAATATTCAGATAATCCAGAGGAGTCAATCGAAAGTACTCCGTATGCTAACTGATGCCCCTTGGTATGTGACCAATGACACAATCCAGAGATCTCAATGTTCCATTGGTGAAAGATGTGATTCGAGAGAGGAGCAAGAAGCAGCACAAAACACTGGAAAATCACAGTAATACATCATTACAACCTCTATTAGAACCCCCTAACCGCAGACGACTTAAGAAATATTGGCCAGCAGACCTACTTGATTTTTGAAGAGGTCTCATCACTGGATGGGACTTCATCATGCCACAACTAGTGCTGTAAACAGTACTATGGACAGCAGATTAGCTTATAGAATTGTTAAATTCTGATTGCTAATAAAGGATTGATTAAAAAAAAATATATATATATATATATTTCTGATGGAAATTGCGATTATCAACTAAAAAAGTCAAAGTTGCATGTATTCCGAACACTACCTTACAATTGTTGAGAATTGCGCTTCATTTATTGCTTGCAACAACAGGAGACATAAATGGATTTCGCCTATGTCAAACAAAACCCAATATTTGGGGTTGCCCAAGTCAAACGCCAAAAGTCATTCAGAGAAAAATATATTTTTTCAAATACGTATTACATAAAGCGCTTACTAATCTAAGTTTACAAAAAACATGCATAAAATGCAATTTTTAATAAAAATAGCAAAATGTTTACAACAGAAATGAGAATTTTAAATTTATTTTCATTAAAACTGATATGTACATAGTACACATTGTATGAAATATCGAAACATTTTATTTTGGCTTATTTCTCATTTGCATAAGCAGGTCAAACCGGCGATTGGACCTTACTTTTTGCGTCATTATTCTACGAGAGTCTAATGTATGCTTTGCAACCTTCGTTTTAGTGGCAACTGCCTTTGCCTGTTCCTCCTTGGTGACCTTTTTGACAGCTTCTTGTCCGACCTTAAAGCCGAATTTCGAAAAACCATTTTTCTGGTTCTCTATTGACTTTCTTTTAGGCACTGAATTATTTGTGACTATTTTAGCAGCTTTTACAAGGACATGGTTCTGTCGCTCAGTAGACTTCATCTTCACTGATTTTGTAGGTTTAGGAATATTTGTCTCTAGTTTAGTGGAGGACTGTTTCTTGGGACTATATCTCAGAGCTTTGCTAAGCTTGCTGTCTTTTGGAGTGGGTACAGCTCTTGGAGGTTTCTGACCTAAAAATCAAAAATGGATTTAAAAGATCACTGCAAAGGAATTATTTGGGTCTTGGATCAAAAAATGGTATACTTTGCAAGAAAATTTATCAGTCCTATTTCAGGTTCTTAATGAACTTTGCAATTATCCATGTTATATCATTTAAATTCAACTTTACTTTTTAAAAAAAATATTTGAGGACAGTAGCTACTGTCCGTTACAAACGTTTACAATTACTTGACTTGACGGTGCCTAGCCGGGTATTGAACAACATGAAATGGGCGCAAGGCCTATTTATACTATTTATGTGCTTACAAAGCACTTCTAGAAAACAAAGCATAAGCAACGAGTTAGCGTCTGATGCAACATTGTATGGAATAGTAAGTCCATTGTTGTGAGTGTATATAACAACTTCCCCCTATTACAAAAAGTGGTTGCCATGCGACAACTTTTGACAAAATTAGAAAAGTGTAAAAGTTGTAAAATTCAAATTTGTAAAAATGTAGAAATGTAAAATTGTAAACATTGTAAAATATAAAAATATAAAAGTAGGAGTAATAAAATTGCAAAATACAAATTGCAAAATAACATCAGAAAATATAGATTCTGAAAAATAAAATTGTTAGCATAAACAAGTAAATGCTGAAACAAAACGTTAAAAGCAAGGCGTACAAAAATGTCATTAAAAGTGAAAAGGAAAACTGATTTTTCACAATTGGAACTTTTTCACTCACTGAACACTACTGTAATTCAATTTCTTCTTCGTGGGGTTGGATGGTTGGTCTTCGACGTGGAAAAAGCCTGGGATGTATCTGACTTTCGACGTTCCTGGTGACGGTCCATCAGCTGGGTAACTTGATGCACAAATACTGAGTGGTCGGCGTTTTCTGCACTTGCAGAAGATGTAGAGGGCTAAGATGACAGCTAGCAGGGTTATGACGACGTACGTAAACCAGGAGATATGTCGTGAAACAAAAGGCTCATTAATAAGTTTGTCAAGTTGTTCAGAATACTGGTTCAACTTGTGGTTGGCGATTTCTAGCTCTTCTGTATCGATCTTGGTTAGCTTGATCGGTTTCAGGTTCGGCAAATTTTGTTTATCAGGGAGATGATTGCAGCATTCGTAGGGTATCCCTGGCTTTTATAAGTGATATTCTTATAAGCGTTAACAGAATATCTGGCATGAAGCCTTGTAGTGCCTATGAATCCAGTACATTCTGGCTGCATTTTCAAAAGTGTATTAGCTTTGATCACCTTTGTAGTTGTCTCATGTTGTCCGCATTTCTTTGTGATGGGCAGCGGGCTAGACCAAAAATTGGTTGCTAATTTCTGGATTTTATAATCCTGCAGAGCCACAACGGCTATTTGACATGTTGCTGGCAGATCGACCGGATTTCGCAACAATTGTGCTTCGCAGACTGCATTGTTGTCTATTGGATACGGTAAAAGGTTAAAACAGATATTAACCTGTGATTGGAGAATTTTGCAACTACCCAAATTTTGAAAGGAGACGTACAAAAGAGAATCGCTATATTTGGCAACGTATCTCTGTAATGTAGAAATTACATGAAATAGACCTGTACGTTCATCTGAAATGAATAGAGGAATCGCCTTGTATAAGGTGTAAACTTCAGGTTCTAACAAGGGGATGCTTAGGACGAAAACTACTTTTGTTTTTGTTTGAAATGCTTGAAGTTCCATTAAATTGAGATATTCTGATACAGTTGCCAAATTGACTGGCATAGGTAAATTGTTTTTTGATAAGGAATGAGAGATTTCTTGAAGAGAATTTACTAAATCCTGAGGAGTAATTATCGAAGGATGAATAATTTTCAAACGTGCAAAAGTAATGGAATTGAGAATATCGTTAATTGTCTCTTCTAGAAACATATAACTTTCCATTAGTTGTTCGCAAAGTTCCAAAAATTGAAATCTAGCTTCATAAAATAACCTTTATGTCTTCGTTAAAAGTGGCTTCGTCAATTTGCAGTTTCTGAATAGTATTATTGAAGTTCTTAATAACCCACATGGTTACCGAGATCTGATTTTTCATCAGGTTTTCAAGCTCATGTTCGTCTTTGGAAATTTTGTTGATGCAGTCGTTATAATATTCACCATCAGATGAATCGAGGTTACCTGTTATTGCTTTCCTAATTGTACCTATGGCATTAATTAAGCCACGTTTCATTCGCGATGCGCTAGTTGTATCGTCGAAAATCTCGTAGTATTTGGTTTTCAAGGAACGGGGAATTTGGTAGAGAAGGCTCGTATGTGTCTTAATTTCGCTTCTAGATACTTTCATGCGATTAGTAGGTTCATTTACGAGAGCGATTAAGTGTTCCAGGATATTATTGTTATCGTCGATCGCCTTTTTGATCAGTTCAAGATCTTTGTAAACGAGTAGTGTCCAAACTTCGTTAGAAATTTTTAGAGGGCCATCTTCGTGGAAGTAAATACCTAATGTGTTGTTAATGGGTTTGATGTCAATCTGGGCCGTACAAACAGCCGCAAGAAACAGCAGACTGGAAGAGAAACTAAGTCTCAAAACATGGTTTCAGTCTGTCGAAATTGACTTTAGTTGTTCTGTTTGTTTCTGGATTTTTGAGCAATGCAGAATTTTCAAATACTATAATGACCTCATATGGCCCATCAAATTTATTTTGAAGCTTATTGGAAATTTGGGACTGTTTGACAAAGACTTTGTCACCAATTTTGTACGTTTGGAGGTTCGGTGATACTCTGTTATCGAAACGAACCTTAGCCTTTTGCTTTTGTTCGTCTGTTCTGGCACGGGCTATTTTATAATAATATTCGAGCTTATCCGAATATCTCGAAGGTATTTAGACATCAATTCCTTTTCAAGGTAGACGTGTTCTGGGGGACGACCAGATGTATATCCGAAGACAAGTTCATAGGGAGTAAATCCTGTGGTTTTGTTCCTTGTGCTATTGTAGCACTGAACAGCATAGGGTAGGATATTAAACGGGTGTTCGTTCGGATTTTCAGATACGTGCGCTCTAATCATTTCCAATAAAGTGGCATGGAATCGTTCGATCGATCCATTGGACTGGGGATGACTAACGCTAGAGAATGTCATTTTGATATCATAAAGACAGAGATCTTTCATAAGAGCGTTGTCGAATTATTTGCCATAGTCGCAATGTATTCGAAGGGGTGTACCGTAATGTTGGAAATAAAAAAGAAGTGTATTCACAACAGATTTAGCAGACTTGTCGTTAATAGGATGGGCTTGGGAAAAGAAGTGTATTCACGACAGATTTAGCAGACTTGTCGTTAATAGGATAGGCTTGGGAAAATTTTGTAAGTTCATCTCGGATTGTAAGAGCATAGCACTGAAGCGGGACTTCTAGAATGTCAATATTGATGCGTTCAAATGGAGCTTTTGGAGTTTCTGTAACAACCAAAGGGGTACTGAGGTTTTTTTCGGCAGATTTTAGTTTTCTGCTAAATTTCACATTTCTTGATGAAATGTTCGACATCTTTAGTCAAACCGGGCCAATTGTATCGTTCACGGATACGTCTGATAGTTTTGTTAATACCTATGTGGATATTTTTCTTACCACAATGGTATTGGTCTAAAATGATTGGAATTTCATCAGGGCTTGGAGTTTTAGTTACATTCTGACAAATGACAATTTTGATACTTTCGTCGGAAAATACGAAAGAAAATATTTCTTGGATGGGCAGATCTAGGTTATTTTCGACGTAGATTTGTTGGGACAAATCGAATATACCTTTGTTATTTAAAATAAGGGTGAAGAGATGTTGTACGCAAGTCGCAGGATCGTACGGCACGGGAATTATATAATATTTCCTATCTTTGACAGTCTGACTAGAAGCGATGTTGATTTTGTCTGCAGAAAATTCGAGATTGGTTTCGAATATGTCTTCGATGATTTTTTCATAAAGATCAGAAAGGGTGTTTTGTCTGAAAAATGTGACTGTGTTTGTGGCTTTTGTCTAGAAGTTGGGAGTTAAAAAATTGAATTTTGGAATAGTCTATTGAAGAGGTGGTTTTATAAAGGCGGGCAAATACATCAAATTCATTTTCGACAAATTGAGTAGAAGGGGAACCTTCTTCATCACTAGGGTTAAAGGCGTTAACATTCGAAGGTAGTTTAATGCGGGATAGGGCATCGGCATTCTTGTTGGCTTTGCCTGGCTTGTAGACTATTTCATAGTCGTATTCCTCTAACTTGAGGCGCCATCTTGCTAACCTACTACCGGTATCACGGCAAGAAAAAAGCCAAGTTAATGGTCGGTGATCTGTGACCAATTTAAATTTTCGACCGTACAAATAGGGTCTAAAGTGTTTTACACTCCAAACAATAGCTAGGAGTTCTCTTTCAATCGTAGACTACCTCGTCTCTGCTTTGCACAGTGTACGAGATGCATAGGCTATCGGAAGATCTTTACCAATAGGTCCTTGGGAAAGTACGCCGGATATTGCAAAAGCACTTGCATCCGTAGTAAGCACAAACGGTTCTTCGAAGTTGGGGTAGACCAGTACAGGAGATGTTAAAGCATTTTTCAAGGTATCGAATGACTTAACACACTCGCTGTCGAAATCGAAGACTGCATCTTTTTGCAATAGTCTAGTCAAGGGTTTCGCAACTTTAGCAAAGTTTGGGATAAAGCGTCGGTAGTAACCGGCAAGACCTAAGAAGGATTTTATTTCTTTATTTTTTATACAATCCACTTTATCTGGATTGGGCTTAACGCCATCAGGGGTTATTACGTGACCAAGATAGGCTACCTCCTTTCTGAGGAATTCACACTTATCTGGCTATTTCGGAAAGTCTGGTGATATGTTCTTGGATAGAAGGAGAATAGACAATGATATCGTCCATATATTCAAGACATCTTTCGTTTTGTATACCCATCAAGATGTTGTCCATAACACGTTGGAATGTGGCAGGAGCGATCTTGAGACCAAAAGGCATTCTCAAGAATTGATAGTGTCCGTTCTCAACCGAAAAAGCGGTTTTGGCAACATCGGCTGGATTAATTTCAATTTGGTGAAATCCAGATGCCAAATCCAGTGTACTGAAGTACTGGCATTTCCCTAATTGGTCTGGCAGATCGGAAATGTTTGGCAACGGGTATTTGTCATCAATAGTGATTTCGTTAAGTTTACGGTAATCGATCACCATACGCCATTTTTGTTTGCCTGAAGCGTCCATTTTTTGGGACTACCCAGACAGGGGCATTCCAAGGTGAACTCGAGGGTTCAATAATTCCTTGTTTTAACAGTTTGGAAATTTGGTCTTTCACTTCTTGTTTGTGGATATGAGGGTAGCGATAAGACAGTAAAAATTGGTTTGTCGGTTGTAGTGTCAATGGAATGTTTAATTTCGTTGGTGAATGACAAACTGTCACCATCTAAATAGAAAATGTAGGAAAATTCTAGACAAAGGTTGGTAATAAGTTCTTTCTCTTCATCGTTAAGATGTTCAAGACGTAATTGATCTCAAATAGCATCTCTACGGTTATACTGACTCTTGTTCTTCAGGGATATGTTAAAATTGTTGACAGACGTTTCATTAAAGGGTTCAAATTTTAATTTGGGCAGAATCACATTTTCAGGAATGGCATTACAGTTCAAGACTGTAGTGAGAAATTCGCCGTTAGAACTGATTTTGACGATGGAGCTGGGTAGACGGACTTTTTCTACCTCGCATGCCAGAAGAATGGCTTCGGTATTTTTAAGCTCTGACTTAAGCTTGACAACCTGTTCAACTCTAGGAGGGACTGAGATGACATTTTGAACTTGGGAATTCTCTTTGAAATTAGAAGTTTGGAGATTTCCTTGAAATCAGAAGTTTGGGTATTTTCTTCATCACCTACTTTGAAAAGAGGGATGGTTTTGAATTTTGTGATTAATTGACGATTTTTCAAATCGATAATGCAATCGTGGTGCTCGAGGAAATCTGAACCAAGAAGGCCATCGAAAGCAATGTCTAAATCGTGAATATAAATTTTGTGGTAATCGTTGGGAGCAAAGGGAACTAAAACTGCTTCTGTGATACAAAATTTTTCGTCCGTAATACCTCGGATGGAGATATTTTCGGCAACACGTTTCGTGTAATTTTGGCAGGTGTTTCGCATGAAAATGGAACAACCGGCACCACTGTCAATAAGGATTTTGAATTTTCCTGTCGCGTCGTTGATGTAGTATAAGTTGTTTGGGCTGACGGAGAGAATTGTCGACGGGACTATAATATGTTTATCTAAACGAACATTTGGTCGGGAGTTGACGTTGTATGAGGGTCTTTGACATTGAGCTTTTGCAAGCTCGCAATCATATGATCGGAATCGTCGTTGGGCTTCACAGGCGGTTCTTCTTTTGGAGAACGTTCGCGAAAATCCTGATACTGCAGGTTATAATCAGCGGTATCATCGTATTCGTAACAGAAATCGTTATTGTTACCAGGGTCAGGGAATTCGTCATACTGCGAGGGGGTGTAAGCAGGGTATTGGGTTTCTGTACCATACTCGCTGGCATAATTTGTATTGTAAAGGTTCAGGGTACTCGGAATATTCGTAGCAATCTGGGGCTACGTAGTTGATTCGGTTTGGGGAATTGCTTGGTCGGAAGCTTCTTTGGAAGTTAGGGTTTTGAAAGCTTGGATTCTGTTGTATAACAGAAGGTCTTGGTACATTAGTATTAGGAACATTTGGCCTAATAACAGAGGGTCTGTGATGGTACTGATTGGAACTGGGGGGCCTATTGTTTTGTGTTGTAGGGTTAGGGTTAGTTCGAGGCGAAAATGATTGGGGCTGGAAAACTGGTCTCGGAATATTTTGTGAGAGCTGTTGCCTTCGCTGGCACTCATTTGCTAAATGACCTGGTCGGTGGCAGAAATTGCACACTCTCGGACCTGGTTTCTTAATCGAAGAATTTTGATTAGAGTTAGGAGCTCTAGAGAATTTTTGTCTCTCAAGATATGATAATTGTAGCTCGCGCTTGATAAAAGCGACTGCAGTAAGGATATCTGTTGGGTGACCTGATCTTACAATCGGGCCAATTTTGGAATCTAGTCCTGTAAGGAGACAGTTTAGAGTCATGGTCTCTATCAATGAACTTTGAGCAGCTTTCTGCTCTCGGTTCATGTTTTGTCGATTGACGGCTGAATGCATCTTCGCCGCCTAAGTTTGAAGTCTTGATGCAAAGGTTAGTGGGGATTCATTTGGTAGTTGACGCATATGCTGCAGATCAGCAATTAAGGATGTGAGATCTCGAAGATCTCCGAAATGTGTTTCAAGGAGAGAGCGTATGTCTTCCCATGTCGAAGGGTTACGGGAATTGACGAGTTCTGCTGCTCGTCCGCGCAGTTTGTTTTTTATATGTAGGACGACGAGGAGACGCTGTTCCTCGACAGCCATTTGGTGCTCTGTTCTACAGGCGTTGATAAAAGTTGAAAGCAATATCGGGTTGCCATCGTATTCAGGGACGATTGAAAATATTTCGGACAGTCTATAAGGCTCGATGTTTGCATGAGCGTTATCAAGAACTTCAGGTGCTTGGTAATCATCTGATCCGTGCTCTGACATGGTGATTGGAAATATGTTTCAGGAAGGTTCGACAATAGTACGCAAAATATACGAATAAATATGGTAAAATACGAAAAAGTGGTAGAAAATACGTAAAAGGTCGTAAGTAAATGTGAAAAATATAGAAAATGTTGCGCAAAATATGAAAATCACTCAATAAATACCCAAAAATATAGAAAAATACAGAGATAATTGCAAACGATAGTAGATTCAATTGTACGTTACCGGTGGTACATCAGGAGGCAGTCGTGTTCTCCAGAGGAGGCTCTCGGATCTCTTTCGATGTTTCCAAGTAGACTCTCTGCAGTTGGGTGGCTGCTGCTCGCTGTGCCCTTTTCTTTCTTCTTTAGCTTCTTCTTCTTAGTCGTTTTCTTTCTTCTTATTTCTTCTTGTTACTTGTAGGCTCGTGGTCCTTTGCAGCTCGAGGAATAGACATCCACCACACTAGTGAGCGTTCGCGTGTTCTAATGCGTTGAAGCTATCCCCCTTCTGACACCAACTGTTATATCATTTGAATTCAACTTTACTTTTTAAAAAAATTATTTGAGGACAGTAGCTACTGTCCGTTACAAACGTTTACAATTACTTGACTTGACGGAGTCTAACCAGGTACTGAACACAAGTTTACATAAGTGACTGTTATGGTGCCTAGCTGGGTATTGAACAACATGAAATGGGCGCAAGGCCTATTTATACTATTGGTGTGCTTACAAAGTACTTCTAGAAAACAAAGCATAAGCAACGAGTTAGCGGGAAGTCGTTATCTGTTGCTGAGCTAGCGTCTGATGCAACATTGTATGGAATAGTAAGTCCATTGTTGTGAGTGCATATAACATCCATGACTGGAGATGCTTTGTAATTCGATGTAACTACATTAATTTTTTTATTGTATGTCTATAATATCACACAGTACCTACTCTATTCCAGGATACAAATAATATACAGGGAATTAATTACGTACCATAAATTTAAAAGATAATTCTTTGAGCAATTTACTAAATTAAACATTATTTACTATACCTTAGTTTAATAAAATTCTTTAGTTTAGATGTTAATGTACATAATTATTAATAAATTATAAAAAAATATATAATTGACAAAATAAACTTTTCCCCATATTCCTTGTGTGGTCCAGGGATGTGCAATTAAGTGTATTTCTATTTGCCTAATCCAAAGAACATAATGAAAATTGCGGTCAGTACATTTTTTGGTCAGAAATATTCATTCAGATCCTGCTCGAGACTCTGTTGGACTTGATAAGTTTGATCAAGTAACTGCTAAATTAGCTCCTTAATGTTACAAATAACACTGCCAAATTAAAACAAAATTAGGTAAAGGATATTTAAGAAATCTATGAAAAGACATTTTTTTTTAATTTTAACACCCTCTATCTTGAGAACCAACATTTGCGGAGCTGAGTTTATGTGAACTTTTTGTCTTAAAGTTACTCAAAGAATCGTGTGTTAAATTTATGGTAGATACTCAATTAACACCATGTGACTGGTCAGCTTGTGTGCTAAGGATAAACACGATAGAGCCGTCGCGTTGTCAGGCCGCGTCAGAGCTGTGGCCCAGAAGCTGCAAACCTCGATGTGCGAGCACCAAACACAGAAAATGTTATAACTTGCTTAAATTTAAAGTTATCAGAATTATTCTTTCAGATTTGTGAAAGATACCAGATATACCATTATATGAAAGTGAAACTATCAGAATTTTCAACTATAGGAAACTTGCTAATTGTCTCAAACTTAGAAAAACTAGCTCACCTGAAAGAAGAAGTTCAGCCCTTTTTGCCTTCCTTTCAACCATTTCTTTTATATTTTCCATCTTCTGGAAATTCTTCTGATGTATCAAAGCAAAATTTGGAATTTTTGATTTTGTAGACATCTTGTCCATTTTTTTCTTTCCCAGTTCGGGAATAATTTTCTGTGCAGAAATGGCTCTAGCAGAACTTCTGGTATATGGTATAGGAGTACTACTGTAGCACTTTGGTCCAGATGTACCTGGTTTATTTTTAACAGCAAAATCATCTTTATCCGGTGGTGGGGAAAGCTCATCCCATAATGGAGGAGCTTGATTATCCAGGAGCTCAAATCCAGAAATGTCCACTGCTGCAGGTTCAAGAGATTTGTCCCATCTTTTCCTTGGAGCCTTAGTTTCAATATTCTTGGATGGAGTAACACCAATGAGGTCAAAAGCAGATTTATCAAGCATAACAGAACCAAGAGATCTGTCCCACCTCTTTCTTTGCTGTTTTGTAGTATTGGTTTCATTCATCGACTCGTCAATTCTTGTGGAATAATCTATCGCAACAATTGAGGGACTATCCACAATGAAAGTACCTTCTCGTTTCAATGATTGATGTGCCTTAGGATTTGGAGTGACCAAATCAATGCAAGAGACTTTTTTTGGGGTCTTATTTTTGTGTTTGGTAGAATTTGCTTCAACAGCATTGTCCTCAAGTGATTCTTCAGGAATTTTCTTATCCATACTTCCAGATCTTAAGCAATATCTTGGAACCAAAGAGCTCTTGTTGCCTAGCTCTGGTTCTGATCCACTTACACTTGAACTTGTATTGCTATCTATAGTGATCGCAGAACTTTTGCTTCTCTTAACAAAAGGAGTTGATTTTCTATCTGACAACTTTTTTGATCTATTGGAAGCTTCAGAACTTGACTTCTTTACTGAGTAACCAGGTGTCATATCTTGTATTCGTGAGGAATGTATGACAGTTTTAGTTGGCATGAAGCGTACAGACTTTCTTGTATTTGTTTCAAGTCGGGTTTGTGACTGTGAACTAAAACGTTTTCTTGGCCTCATTTTATGACCAAATTCGATGTCTGAGTCTGTAGAGATCTTTTTAGTTTCATTTGCTGATTGATCAAATTGAATATTTGAATGGATAGGGCCTGGAGTAGCTATTGAAAAGGTACCATTTGGATCTATATTATTTTCTTGGTCACTACAATCCAAATCTGATTCAGTCAGAATATTTCTTTTTGCATCATTTCCCTCCTGAAAGCTATTAGATGAGCAATTTGGTCCTCGAGTAGCTTCAGGGACAGTATAACAGCTGATATTCTTTAAAGGTATATTAAAACTATTCTCTTTGTCTGTTATTAAGCTGCAACTTTTGGGTGTTTTCAATTTGACTTTAGTATGATGCTTTCTTGCATGGTCCTCTGCTAAAGTTCTGTTAGATCTATTAGGTAAATGATGAATAACTGGTTTTGTCCCTGCATTTACAATGGTTCCAGGAGCAGTAAGACGTCTTTTGTTAGGAATAATACCACTATCCATTTTTCTATTCTGAAAATAAATAGCACAATTAGCAATAAATACTTCAGTGTTCTTAAATTTTGAGACTGTTTTAAAACAATTATTTTAAGTTTGTGTATTGAATTAGCGCTAAAAGATACATAGGCACATGGTAACTACCAAACTAAATATTTTAATTGCAAGACATCGTTTTCACTTGTGTTGTGGCTTTAGATTCAACCATTTTATGTTTTAATACTCTTACAACCCGAATAGATTGAAATACACAAACTGAGATCGATAAAACGAGAATAAAACTGCTGTATGATCATGACATTACTTACATGAAAAATGCATAAAAATAAAAAACTTAGAGGGATGGAGATATGGATATTGGAGTACTAACAAGTTTTTAAAACCGTTGGAAAAACCTTTTCAAACAGAACGTCAAATGTCAAATTTAAAGATTCCCATAAATCGAAAGATACATGATGCAGGCTCGCAGTGTGAGGTCCAGTTGAGCAGCATTGCCAAATTAATTGCTTTTTCTGGATCCACAAGATTTTTGAATGAGACTAAAATACTAACGAACTTTACAAGGCCATATGTAACAGCGTTATATCAAAGAGTAGCTATACCAAGAGAGGACTCTATATGAAATGTCTTTGAACTCCGCTAAAAAGGGCCGAATGATTCGAAAAATCTCTACTGGCAAGAAGGTCTGCGAAAATATACTAATATAACTAAAATGCACATAATCTTGGTCAGCCAATTCAGAAACAATTAAACACTATTCAGAGATGTTAAGGAATGTTAACATATACCTACTAATATGGTTGTTGAAACCCTTTAGGACAATTAGTACCAATGTACATAATTTTGTCAAAAGTTCAAACCTGCAGGACAGACATTTCAGGATCGAAAAGCTACTATGCAATGTTGCTATGATATTCTAGTACAGTTCTGTACCTCAGTACCAGACTCGATTAAGTCCAAATGAGTAGTTTTGAGATAATTGTATTTGAAATATTTTTCTTGCATTAAAAAGTCATAACTTCCTTATTATTACAGATAGATGGTTGCTAGATGAAGCAAATTAAAATTAACAATATTATCATAACCTTAATATATTAAACTAATTTTTGACAAAAATGTACTTAACCTAGTCTGGCTCTAGGGTACAGAGTTGTAATCGACTTTATGCCAACAAAAAAAAAAGATTCAAGTGATTACTTTATGTTGAAAATTTTATGCATGAGAGCCAAAATCACAAATTATAAGAGGTAAAAGTAAGAATGTTCATTATTCTACCACGTTATCCTTATAACACAGCCCAAATTTTTGATTAACTAAACATTTGGCGGCGGTCGAAGGTTATGCTAAATGCCCTATTAGCAAGTAAGTAGCGTTTAGAAAATTAGGAGGATGGGACTATGCTAGTTTGTATTGCAATCCCATATTTTCTATATATAAAAAAGAGCTCGCAACGCTGTACTAGTATACCACTAGTGCGTATGTGCAGCGAATATCCAGAATCCGGAAATTTAGTCTTCAGCTAGCCCTCGTGAGATGTCGCTATTTAAAAAGGTCTCTTATTCCTTTATAAAGCCTATTTATCAGTTAAATTATTCAAATAGTTGTCCTATCAATATATCGATTGTTTTTGTAAACAAAATCACGAATTCAGTTTAATTTAAAAGCATCAAGGAGAGTCGGCGATATCTAAGGAGAACTGTTTTAGGGGGTTTATGATGGATAAAAAGGGTAAGATCGCTCCCACATGATATGGCGAATGTCTTACAACGTTGGACACATAGCCAATCTCCACATCGTTTAGGAGAGCGCTGACGGATTGCATATATCCAACGTTCGCCACATGGCACGATCGGGCTCTTGTCGGTAAATTTGACCCGCGTCAAAGTACGTTACAACGTTGGAAGCATGGTTCGTTACGCAATTACGCTCCCACAGGATGTGTTTGATGGTTTTAGGTTAGAACCAGTAGCGGACACAAACATTATTTATTTGTTTGCTGACTGGTGAAGTAGTGGTATGTGGGAAGTATTTTGATTTGAATACCTACCTATCAATAATAATGTATCTTCCGTAACTAACTTTTGAGGAGAATGGATTAAATTAGTATACATACAAAGCATAGGCTGCCATAACAACACTTTTTTCGTATTGCTAATATTTTGTATGTTTCGCATGTGAGTTATGGCTGGCCTAAGGATATGTATTTTAGTAAATTATCAAGTGTTTACAGTTGTTTCATTATAATGGCCTGTTGCAATGCAAGACTAGTTGAGAAATATATTGACTTCCATTTCATGATTGAAGAAAATTAAATAAATGATAACTCTAAAAGTACTATCACGATTTTGATGAAATTGTGACCCTAGGTTACTACTATGAAAATAACGAAAAAGCTCTGCAGTTCTTGAAAATCGGTACAGTGCCGGTGGAGCTATCGTCTAAAAACATACAAAAAACGGTCAAACTTCGTTTTTCGACATTTTAGAGGCTTCAGACAGACTTAAGTATTGATTGCTGAGGACTGTTCTGAAATTGTTTTTCGGCGCTCGAAAAAATTGTGTCATCGTTTATTTTGTATAATTTTTTCTTCAGTTGTAAAGGTTCAAGCGCGACACTGACACCGATAATAGACATTGGCACCACCATGTGTCTAACGTCCGTGGCTAAAAAGTTCATCCCATCGTGTAGGAGACACATTTGCCAATTATAGGGTGTCGAACGTCGTAAACAACGTTGGAAGCATATGTTATCTAGCGCAACTGCGACGGTATTATAGGTAACTATTTGAATGGTCAGTTCAGGTGGTATCCACGTAGCCAGGATCAGAGATTACCCCCTCTAGAGAGCAGAAACTTCCATACTGATAGATGTCACCGTATTTTAGCGCCCTCTGGTGGTTTGGGCAGATATCAGTACTGAATAATGGGCCTTTCCTGAATACTATGACTTTCTTGCTTAATGGGCCTTCCCACATTCTGATACGTATTGTACGCCCAGAAAGTTTGCTATACGAAAGAATACGGTCAAAAATTTTTGAAGGATTTTGCAGATTACCCAGTATTTATTCTGTGTGATCTGCAAAATCCTTCGCCAATTTTTTTGCCAGCATTCTTCCGCAAAGCTAACTTTTGCTGGGCGTACTAGTGAAATGAGGAATTCAACAAATGAAATAAATTATTATTTATTCATGTATTTATATTGCAGATCTTTTAAATACAGAGCGATTGCATATTCTCGCAGCTCTTATTATCTGTTAAACCTAGATTACAATAAGAATAAAAGCATTATATTTCAGCCAGTCAGATAGTAACTTTTTACTGATATGTTAAATAGATCAGTATTTCCCAACTCCGCATTTTGTGTATAATGAGTTACCGTAAACGATGGCTTTGGCCACCAGGGTTCACTTTGGCCATTTTTCAATATTTGTTTTATTTACGCGCGATTACGTTATAATAATACTTATGCGCAGAATAGCATTTTTTAATGATTCTATAGATTATAATGGACTCGAAAAACATGTATACGTAATATAATTTGATTTTAAGTATTTGAAAAAAAATAAATAGGAAAATTTATAAAAAACCTGATTTTTTACGTCTAAAAACTTTATGCGCAGCTTGACAATGAGGCGACATCTTCATGCAAAAATATACTATCATACAACCTTTAGGAAACTTTATGAGCCAAGTGAGCAAACTTGAGCTTTAAGGGGTTGCCGCTAGAGGGCGACCAAAGTCCCCAATACATTATTCGTTAGTAGAGATGATCTTAGCAGCGACTTGCAAGTCGCCTGGATACCGGTGACAGCGACCTTAAAGTCGCCGGTAGATTTAGCAGCGCTTTAGGTCACTGCTTATCTATGGTCGCTGCCAGCAGCCAGCGATTCCCTGGCGCTGATTAAATTACTCGATATTTGGCGGCGATTATCCATTGATATTAACGAGGTATAGATGTTCAGGTTCCTGAAGATTTGAATTAAACTATATTTAAGGTTTTTGTTTTTAACAATATTGAGCACAAAACACATAAAATCATAAAAATACATCAAATATCTTTCTATGCATCTTAAAAAGTAAAACAAAATACTATTTTACCAGTCAAAATAAAACTTTTAAAACATAACAAATGTAGTATAAAAATGCTTCTTTTATATGTTGAACATTGCTTAATAACAGAAACATTTTTCTATGAAACAGGAACTCACAACAATAACAATAAAAACTAACAAAATAGGTTAGGCTACGCTGTAGCGACCCTGTACTTCCCGCGCGATGAGTATATGCTTCCTGGCAGCGAGCGCGACCGAAACAGCGTTACAGCTACCGATCAGTGGTTACCGATACCGATACTTCCAAACAGCTATCTGGGTCGCTGCTTCATGGAGAATCTGGTCGCCGCGACCATTCAAGTCACCGGGAAAGGTAGCCGGTACCGATATATCGATCATCTCTATTCGTTAGTATTGGTCTGACTTTGGCCATCACATGTTTGCGTTGTTTTCGACCGGTAACAAATGTGTTTTCTTTTTTCGTGATAAACTTAGCTGGTCGCATTCATTTCTATGGAAAAAGGGTCGCTACAAAAGAGTCATAGGAAGCAGGAACTACAGCAGTTATACCACAGCACAACTAGAAGAGGAACTTCGACTGATTAGATCGGCTGTAATATCACAAAGACAATGTTCTACGAGATTCAAAATACCTCGAGCGACATTGCAGAATAAGCTGAAGGGAGTGCACAATAGACCTGCAGGTGGCCAGACCGTGTTGTCAGTGGAGGAAGAAAAAGAAATCGAAGCAAATCTATTATTAACATCGTCATATGGTTTTCCTCTAGATTCCCTAGATTTAAGAAAACCTGTTAAGTGCTATCTAGATCGAAAGGGTGTAGTTATATGCAGATTTACAAATAATCTTCCTGGTAGTGAATGGGTAAGACTATTTTTAAGAAGACAACCAGCAGTGACACAAAGGTTTGTTGCAAATATAAAATCCGTTCGGGCCGGCGCTTCATCTGCCGTTATTAATAAATACTTTGACCACTTAGAAGAGGAATTAAGGGGGATTCCACCGACAAATATTTGGAATTACGACGAGTCCAACTTATCCGATGACCCAGGTAATAAAAAAGTTTTAACAAAAGGGGCTGCAAATATCCTGAGCGCATCCTGAACTCGTCCAAACAATCTACCAGTGTAATGTTTTGTGGAAATGCTGTAGGCACAGTGTTGCCACCTTATGTTGTTTATAAGGCAAAAATATGTATGATACCTGGATAGAACAGGTCACAAAACCACCAAAAAACACCAACAAATCGCACTATATAGCATTAACCACGATACACGTGAACTGCCGCCCATATTCGCAATATAATATCTTCAGTGTATGTGTATCGTAGATAAGAGTGAATGGCCAGGATAAAAGAGGTAGCCCGGTGTCAAGCATGATATTGGCTTTCCATAAAGATTACATAGAATTACAAACGAATATTCAAAACATTTTGTCTTATTCCATAGTGTAGTATTGTCGCTTTACTACATAAATATCTACGTGTTAGATCTGATGAACGCTTATAGAACGCCACTGGCCACTCGCCACTGTTTTTGACGATACTACTGAACACTGAACTAGACAGTGTTGCCGAACCAAAAAAGATGAAAACGGTAGATAGTGTCGTTCAAATTCCGTAGATTCAAGAACAGAATCGGTAGGAGGAAATAATCAGGTCCGTCTCAAGTTCAGTCGTAGATCAAAGGTCTTTGCGTCACGAGGCTCCGTCTATGAAAAAAAAATGTATTTCTCGTACGTACACATAATCTTTTCCTAAAAATATATTAACTTCGTTATTACAACTGATACAATCAGCTCTCCAAACTCTTTTGCTCATTGTTGTTGTTGTTTGTTTATGAGACTGTGAATAATTTCCTGTTTTACCCTGAACTTGAAGCCTCATCCCCTGAGATCTCAATATTCCTATAGTATCCGAATAAAAACAGAGAGCTTTGGTTTCCTTAGTGCATATTTGGTGATGCGGTAATGGCGGTGATCCCCAGTCTGCGTCTGTTGTATTCACAAAAACCAAGAGTGCACTGTTTTCGTGAAAATAAAAATAAAACAAACTAGATCATTCATGAAGAGCCGAGATACAATTAGTTTCAAAATAAAATAGGAGGTTTAATACGAACTTGACGTTTCTTGGAATATAGTCTGTCATACGGTTGTTAAAGTTACTACTACCATTTTTTTTTTGTAAAAGTCAAGTCAAAAGTTTCCTTTTTCCATTTTTGAGTGTTGTGAAATGAAATTTAACAATGATAAGTACGCCGATATTATTTTTGTGTGCGGGTTCTGTAGTGGAAATGCTTTAGCGGCTTCTCGGGAGTGTCGATGTTGATTTCCTAACAGACGCCAACCTGCTCCATAGGTTTTTACGCGTTCATTTCAAAGACTTCGGCAGCATGGAATTGCCAAACTTCCCGGAGGCCATGGTGTCCGGCATACTGTTCAAGAGGAACTGGAAGTGATTAATTTGGCGTTGGTTGATATTAGTACAAGTACTAGGCAGATTGCAGCCCAGTTACCATATTCCCAAAGTCTTGCATGGAGAATTTCAAATCGGGAAGTTTTGCAATGTCTGCAATCCGGCGACGAAGTGCAACGGCAAAATTTTTGTGACTGGGTATTGCAAATGCATAATCAAAATGCAGATTTTATTGATTTGGTTTTGTGTTCAGATGAATCGCTTTTTACGAGGAGTGGAACCTTTAATTCTCATAATGCACATTTGGTCGTTAGAAAATCCCCGTTCTGTAAGAATCCACTCGTTTCAACACAGATTTTCTAGAAATGTCTGGTGCGGCATTTTAAATGGTCAACTGTTTATGCACGTATTACCAAAACGTTTAAATGCAAACTCATACTTAGCTTTTCTAGAGAATTTCATAGAAAATGTGTTAGATCATGTTCCGTTACCAACGAGACTACGAATGTGGTATCAGCACGACGGTGCCCCACCGCATGTTCGTCGTGACATAACTGCATGGTTAAATAATCATTTTAGACAACGATGGATTAGCGGAAACTGACCCGTACATTGGCCTGCGAGGTCTCCTGATTTGAACCCCCTGGATTTCTACTTGTGAAGCGCTTTTAAACAACTAGTGTATGTTGAACAAATTAATACTGTCGATCAGTTACAAGAAAGAATAGATAATGCGTTCCATCAAATTCAAGCCATAACAAATTTTGTGGAAATACGCTTTTCTTTATTAAAAAGATGCCGCGCTTGGTTCCGTCAGAGTGGTGGTCTTTTTGAACATTTATGGCAATAAAGCTTTGATTATCTAATTTGTCTTTTTTATTTTTATGAAAACAATGCACTCTAGGAAAAAACTCAAGAGTAATTATATGTAGCAAATTGTAAAATTAGAAAAAATGCGCGTTTCGAAAAAAGTACAGTCTGGTACTATTCTTATTTGGAACAAGAATGCCAGTTATACCCTGTATCTCTGCCACTGGTGCACGTTAATTTTAAGTAAATACTTCTGAATGTAGACCATACTTAGGTAAATCCACATACCAAATTTTAGTTCATTCCAGTTGACGGTTTTGAAGATATTAAAAAAATGTTTTTTATTTTTAAACTTCAACATCTTTTTAATGAAGCCCTCGAGGAAAAAATGTTACATATAAAACCCCCTTAAAATGCGGTCCTGTATATACTGTTTCATGTTTGGTCACGACTTGTGAATCGGCCTGTATAATTGGTGAAAACTTGAATATTTGAATCCTATACTTGCTGGTGAATAGTGCCTGATTCATCCACTAATTTGCGACATTTCACAATGATTTCAGATATACAGATGTCACATCGATAACATTATTAGCGCCTCAAAAATAAAATGCATTCGAATCATTAATTTTTGTCAGTTGTAGTTGTACAGTGAGTGGCATAAACTTAAAATGTGTTTAATATTTTGAGGTCAAATTGGCCTGGCCGCTGACTGGATCATCACACTAGCCAAAATCCAATGCCCGGACAAATTTCCGACCAATACTTGGAATATCTTAATTATTCTGAAAAATCGAGGAAAATTTTTGGTATTTCCGTAATCTCATGTCGGTAGACATGCCGATATATCGGTAGGTCCGGCAACACTGGAACTAGGGATACTAGCTGTAGATACTAGTACATTTGTATTTTTAATGCTGGCTAGAATGATTTCAACGCTAGCGCCACGAAAGTGTCAGCAGACAGGAAAGTGAACCTGCAGATAATGAAAACGTCGGTGGATATGTCCAAAATTATTATCTACCGTTGCTAGCAGAAATATCCGTACCGTGGAGATATAATGAAAGGTGAACTTTTCATGTGGAGGTGTTGAACCATAGAAATCCTGTTTTTAATTTCTGGAGAAAGAAGGAATTCCTACCAAAAACACTATAAATACTGAGATTGATAAGCGAAAATGGCAGCCCTACCACGCAGAATTATAAAAGAAACTCAACGATTAATGCAAGAACCAGTACCGGGAATCAGCGCTGTACCAGATGATAGTAACGCACGCTATTTCCATGTTATTGTCACGGGCCCCGAAGACTCTCCGTTTGAAGGGGGACTATTTAAACTAGAATTGTTCCTTCCAGAAGACTACCCTATGTCAGCACCTAAAGTAAGATTCATCACAAAAATATATCATCCTAATATCGATAGACTTGGTAGAATCTGCCTGGATATTCTAAAAGACAAGTGGAGCCCAGCACTTCAAATTCGCACTGTGTTGCTGTCTATCCAAGCCTTATTAAGTGCTCCTAATCCTGATGATCCATTAGCAAATGATGTAGCAGAATTATGGAAAGTTAATGAATCAGAAGCTATTCGAAATGCTAAAGAGTGGACCCGTAGATATGCTATGGACAATTAATATATTTTTCGCTGCGGAGGACCACAGTAACAAACATAACCATTCTACCTTGGTATATACATTTTCACATTAATTTATGAACTAAGGACTAGAATTTTTATGTTTCTTACTATAGTTATAATTTTTGCTGAGATGTTTCTCAAAGCATAATTTAAGTGTATCTTATTATCAACTTTATTGTTATTTACTTTATAAACACTTCTTTTTTCTCCTTGAACTCATGTTGATTTGTCAACCCCTATGTACCTTTTTTGTTATACCTGTTTTACATCAACAATTTCTTCACAAATTTATTCAGATGGATTTTATCAAGGTCATCCCGATTATGTTTTGTGGTGTTTACATCAGACTGGATTATCTGACAGTATACAGTGCTGCCAACCACACAACAAATTATTGCTAGAAACATTTTTAGTTTTTTTACATGTGTTATGGTTTTTATTTTGAGGCAAATCTCATCAACAAAAACCATATACTTACCTACCTACTGTTGTATACTGTAGCTCTATCAAAGTTCTATGCTTGAATTGTAAAGTTGTTGAATATAATGGAAAGGAAAACAAGGTTAACGCCATGGAATTTCACATTCAACTTTGCAAAAATTAGAACAAGTTCTAAATGCCTCAAGAAATCCATGAAGAACTCACATCGATTTATTTGATGTCAAATTCCTGTTTTATACTTTTGAAATTTGTCCATGACCTTAATTCGTGAAGATATCTGTGGATTTATTGTGCATGTAAAATGGGTATCTCCCATGGATCTCTAGTATATATATATATATATTACTATACAGGGTGATTTGTCACACAACATGACTAATATTCAGAGAAATCCATATATCACTGACATTGTAATGTGTATGAGAGAGAAGTGCAGTACAGTTAGAAAAAGATACAAGCAACACGTTGCCTAGCAATGCAAATGATGATGCCACAGATGCAGCTGCGGCTTGTCGCGTTGCCATTGGCGCACCCTTTCTAACACACGCTTCTCTCTCGCACACGTTACCTCATCAGTCAAATTTGAATTTCTCTCTAGGGAAATTCCTTTTTATCCTACTTATAATAGTCAAAAACATTTTATGGAACAATTTTTTATATACATATGTCAAAAATTTTACACCATATAATTGGAGGAAACATCATATTAAAGATTATTTATTGCTATAATTAATGAGATTTGTGAAAAATCTTGATCTGCCTATGTAAAAAATATGTGTCCCATTTCATGCCTATAGGTTCAATCTAAATATTGTAACTTTTTTGGGTATCTTAAATTGTAAGAGATGGCTCCAGTATTCAAAATGATCTTGAGCTAAATATGCCAAAGCTATCTATTTTGGAAAATATAGAATAACTTTGTGATACTGTCTTTAACAAATAATTAGATCTCTATCTAGTAAAGGAAATGAAAATCTAAAAATACGATTGACTGTGTCAATATAGCATTCCATTCCTTCATGAAAATGGTTGGAAATTACCAGTCATCAAAATCTCTCCTTACAGTCTTGCCAGATATTTTCACCCTGTGTATTCACTGTTTGTTCAAAAATTTAGGATGGAGTAAGCTTGTTGAATCAATTGTTACTCATTTTGGTCCCTTTTGAGATATTTCATACAAATTTGGTACCTGATTTTTTTATTGTACTTCATGTGTTGATCTGTAAATGCGATCTTTTGTGAAATATCAGTAAGGTAGCACCTAAGGCTTTGCGGTAAACGTTTCGTTAAAAGATTTTCAGTTTCAATGAAAATATTCATTGACCCCAATTTGATATATCCAATGAGTTAGGAGAAACATCTCATGAGAAAATGTGTATAAACACCATGCATTTTTGAGTTAAAGGTTTCACTAAATAGGAATTATCAACAAATTCGTAATTTGAATAAATAAAGCATTTTCAAGAACATATTTTTGTGAAATTATTTTCCCATTTTGTTATTTTTGTTCTATTAAAAAAATGGTGGCGCCATTACTTTCCCGGAACTGGCGATACCGACAGTCGCGACGATAGAGCACGGAATGGGGTGCTTGCCTTGCCCACTTGAATCATTTGCATTTACTTTATTTTTAATCGGTGTGCAGGCAGAAAGGCAAAAACAACATTCAGTGAAAATTGAAAACTAATTTGCTATATTTCAAACTGGTTTCTGTAACTTTTTTTTATCCCCAAAAAAATCGGCAGCTCAAAAGTCGCCAGAACTTGGCGTACTATATATATAATATTCACTAATGCTAATGAACCAGTTAGTGACGTCAGTTTCTTTAATGGAACAATGGCTATCACTCGTTATCATTATCAAGATACCTTAAACTGAAACACTATTTCTAATTGTTTCTAGCATTCATTTACCTAGAATAAAAAGTGAGTCACAGAATTGTTGTCATTTTTGATCGTTGAATATTCTTGCATCAAACACGTTCTTATCGTGCGCTTTTGAACGATGAAATGAGTATAATTACCAAATTTGAATTGAGTATCTCGATAGCAAGTAACAGGTAACAATGTATCATCAATCTCTACGCCTCGTAGGAACTATAGAAAATGTCGTATTACCAGGATCAGAAGCTTCTTAGTAATAGAATGTATTTCACTGATACCAAAAGTTTTTGAAATTGCGTCACTGAAAAGCCAAAGGTCCAACCAGGTTTCAGTGTTTTTTTTTCGTTTTTTGCCCGTTGCTCTGCCGGTGTTGGATTAATTTTCAAAACCCACAAAGCTTTTTCGTCCTTGGCATAGTAGTAACCTTATGTGAAAATTTCATCGAAATCAAAGCAGTACTTTCCAAGTTATAGGGGGTCCGAAGATTAGCGGACAGAGCGACAAACAGACAGACCCACGGAAATGAGTGATATGGTTTTTCGTGATATGTACATGTCATATAAGCTCCAAAAAACATAATACCTTATTTTTCAACTTATTGAGCGGAAGGTACAAACAAATTTTACAAAATTAATTATGCCATTTTGTAGAGGAGAAAAAGTGACAATATTATTTTATTTTGAATCCCCACCTCGTCGCAATTTTTTTTCGTAATATGCACGTCTTGTAACATCCAAATGACACAGTATCTCATTTTAAACGTTTCTGTGATTACAATGCTCCTCGCCAATTCGTGAGAGAAGTAAAAACACAATACCTCAGCAATTGCAGGCTAAAATAGAAAGGTAAATAAAACATTTTTATTTGTGAATATTATACTTATATTTTGTATTATTTACACAAAAATGAGCAGCTAATATAACAGGGGTGGGATATAGAATATAAATAAGCGCCATCAAGATTAGATTGCTCCGTTCAGGTAAGTGAAATGGAAAATAATCATGTAGACCGACTTGTATTCAATTCAGTTTTACACAACTTTCCACAAAAAGAAAATCGCATGGTAAAATTTTATGCGAAATATGGACAGGATCAACCAACCATCAGACAGGCAATAAAAGTAATCAGGAGTATTATAGTCTATGGAAAAACTGTTGAAAAAACAATAGGCGGAAGTCAGCATCATGTTTTATCATTCACACAAGAAAATAGAGGTATGTCAGTGGATGAGAATAATCGTATATATAACTGATAACAGTTTTAAACAACAAAAACTACTGTTGATATCTACGCAGAAAATTCATATTTTATCATTTATTAATGTTTTCATCATATTTTATCATTTGTTAATATTTTCTAAGAAAGTCAGTTTGATAAAGGTTTCACAGTTTACGTAAAACATCAATATTTTATACATGTAAATCTAGCAAATGCATATTCTGTGGATAGACATTTCATCAGTTTTTCCTAGAACAGGTATTCGAGACTTCTTTTTAAAACTAAGACTCCATAGTACACACATTTTAAATCCCTAATCGCCTTTATGAATTTAAAGTTCTGTATCAAATGTCAGATTGCGATTTCATAAATTGCAAAACTTGCCTAGAAGCTATATCTATCCCAATAAACTCAAATTCACTTTATATCAAAATTTGATAACGGAGAAATAAAACATAGCTTGTCTATTGGCATTCAAATATAAGATTTTTGGTGTAATTTTGCATAACATATAAACTAAAAAGTATCACTAGTATTACGTTACCACGGAGCTACTCAATAACGTTACCGTTTTTGTTAATGAATAAAGTTTGTTCTTTAGAATTGGAGTGTACCTAAATATTATCTAAAACCTAATCGCAACTGTTGAAGTATTTTTGCAAATACGATCTCTCCAGCCATCTGGCTTGCTGGCGACCACAGCGAAATTCTAATTTATAGAATGAAAACGTGTATTTCTTGGGACTCTAAACCTAAAACTTCTGACCTTAGTAGATGCTGGCACATTGAACGTATCGTAATATGAAGTCTTACTGTTACACCATGTCCTTAAAAAAGTTTAATAACCCTTAGGTAGAAAATCAAATAAATATCACACCTTTGTAAAATGAAATTACATATTCTTTCCAGGCTAGTGCTTTATCTCTAAACAGGTTTAGTTTTGGTCAACTTTTGGAATATACTACACACATATAAATACATTCAATTCAGTAAGCCTTAGATCCAAGAAATTGAAATCCGCGTCTAACGCCTGCAATATGAACAGATTTGTTGATTTTAGAAAAACTAATTTCAAACACATTTACATCTGGATACCAAGTTTATTCCTATCAACAAAGTAACTTGAGTCATTTATTTTCAAGACTATCTCTACATTGTACAGACCCAACTTAGACAGGGATCCACATTCAATTCTCGCAATTTTATAAAAAAAATTGCTTAAAAAAGATGGAATTCTTGCTGAAAGATAGTTTTTCGTTATCGAACAAATCTATGATACAACCAAAATTCCTTCAAACTTGTCAGCCTGATTACAAAATCTAATTTGAGAAAAGAGCTTAACGCCACAGAATGTCAGTGACGTGGTGATATATTCAATTTCTCACGGCGAGCAAAAACAAAAAATCTATACAGGGTGTTTCAGAAAGTTTTGGTCAGCTATTGTCATAAATCCAACAGATTTTGATATTTAAATTAATTTGAGTACCACAAATTCCTCAAGAGCTAACGACATATTAAATCATCGTGTTTTTTTGATACAGTAGATAGCCTTTACGATGCATAGCACAGACTGTAAGTAAGTAAGTTAGCAAGCCTAAAATAATATTCTGGGTCTTGAAGGGAATGTTTGCCACCCACAAAAATAATGATTTTCAACACGTTAACTGCCACAATACAAAAAAATTTGAGCCCTCTGGGCCACAAGCTAAAAATTGTTTATTATACTTCCAAATTCATAGAACTGTTGACAAGATATTTATTACTCGCCAATACCGGTCAAAAATTGTATTTTTGAACGTGAATCAAGTGTGTCTCACGGGGCCTGGTCCATCAAATTTGCATAGAAAGCCGCATGAATCATGCGTGATGCAAAACATAACCACGTGTTTATTCTTCATTATGTCAACGGTTAGCGATACAGTAAGGAGTTGATCATTTGGGTGGTATAATATTTGAGTATTTGCGATTTTTATCAACCAAGGTAAGATTTTCTGGTAACATTTCATCACAAGAATTAATTTTATGCTTTTTCTTAAGATAATGGGTAGCTATGAGAAAGAGCAGCAACGTCTGCAAAAGCTAATAGATGAGATGCTTTCCAATGAAGAGGCCGATTCCTTTGAGGCCTCATCAGAAGAATATGAACCTGATAGTTGGCATTAATCTTCTTCGTATAGCTCGAAAGGCAGTAACGAGCCATTAGTGAAAAAGAAAAAACAATGTATCATCCAATAGCATCTTCTGATGTTGGCAGAAAAGGTTCTAATAGGCAGTTTCTTACCAAAACTGACCGTCTTCTCAGAAAGTAAATCAAAATGATTCAATTTTGGACACCATACAAGCGGTTATTCATCAATTTCAACCTGACTGCTCAGATGAAAATGAGGAACTGGTTCCATCACTGATGTGGCAAGAAGTTTCCGTACAATATCTGAAGAACTTTCCGATTGACATTTGAATTTGAAAAACGAGTTCTGCTTGATTTCAAAATCTTTCAATCCTTCAAACAAACTTTTGAGTACGTCTTAACATATATCGACAAAGTTTTTCTTTCTGAATTTTGTGTCCTCTAAAAATTTTTTTTATTGCGTTAAAATTAGACAGGCCTTTCAAAATTTCATCAAAATCCATTGATATTTTCCAAGTTATGGAAGAATCGATGATTATTTTTTTGACGGTTAATATATCGTATCAGGTACGATGAACAAAAACTATAAATATTTTTCTGTCTGTAATAGAGAATTACCTGACCAACGCCACAAAAATGTACCTGCTATGTTATATCTGAAAAGTATTCTCCCAGTTTTTCGCGATTACGGTACTTCCTGGCCTATTGGCTTGTCTGAAAAAATGAGCACCCTCTTTGAATTTCAAAGGATATGTAAGCTCAGACAAAAGGTATATAAAATTTGCAGTATAGCAAAAATTTGTCATATATTGTATCAAGTGTTGCTTTCAAGTATTGCAAACAATTGAATTATTACTTAACAAAGCATCTCGTGCAATATTTGCTTGAATGTTTCAAAAAAGTAATCCTGGTAGTTTTCCATATCCATAGGATTTATCAAATTGTTGTGAAAGACTATTTAAATGGATAAAACCATGAAATGCAAATAGAAAGAAAAATATCAAGCATAGTTAAGTAGATCTGATGTGTGGAACGTCCACCAAAATTTTTTTCAAGGTGCCCTTCTTCCGTTTTGTGCTGGGTACGCCCTGCCAACAAATGTCATCATGAAACAACAATCAAAACGAAAAATTTCTTACATGAATGCAACGTTTTTGCTTTGCTCAATACCATTGGCCGGGTGCTGATAACGGTAATCGTATTAGCTATCTGTTGGATCAATCACAGACCTCTCTCTGAGAGGCTGATATATATTCTGTCAACGTCTGCAAAAAGGAATGTTCGAGGAAATGAGTCATGCCATTAGCTTTTTTTTGTAGGAGACGTATACAAATTAGACCTGTTAGTTTGTATTGCTATTCGTCGACCAATGAGAAAGATTATCTCACTTGCACGTTTGTCGAAAACACTTGAATGTCCCGGACTTGTTTGTTTACGCAATGCACGTCGATCACGCAGTATTATTTGAAGGGGAAGTATGTAATGTATTCACTAAGGACATGTATACTCAGAATACAATTATATCTTTAATGAAGCGTTTTCAGTAAAAAACCAAAAACAGTCTTGTGACCTGAGTGCGATGTACATAATCCAAAGGGAGATTAGGAAGGGGTGAACAAATTAGTGTTTTTGAATCGAACAGCGACAACTTCGAGCAGTGTTTGTGTGTGTGAGTGTGTGTCTGACAGGGTGGTACTTGACATTCCTTGCCAAATTAATAGTGAATATTTTTCAATTTTTTTTACGTTTTCGGTGTTCTTTACCGCAAATCAGCTTTGGTATGAAAACGTAGTTTACTCTAAAAAGGAAAGTCCCAACTTTCAGGACACCTTTATAAGAGAGCAATATTTCTAAGTGTAGCGATATGGATATCAATTTACGTGTTCATGGGTGGTTGTTACTTGGTATAGTGTTTTATGAAATATTTCAGGAGACAGGCACTGGAATTTCAAAGTATTTTGAAGCATGATTATACAAAATTTTATCGCAGAAACAGAAAAGGTTATATGCAGCGTGAATGCTATCAACTTCTATCCACAAAAAATACCTATGGCAATAAAGGACTAACCAGACATTCTGGAATATCATGTATTCCGGCAGCAAGAACTAGGTCTAAAGCAAAATACCATTCAAAATAGTTGTAGTTTCCATTGTTCAGGGTAACTGTAGTTTTTAAGGCATATTAGCGTGTCGCAACCTAGTTCTAAATATTTCATTACAAAAACTGCCAATGTACATTAAACAACAAAAATCTGTTTGCTGACAATATGAGATTCATTCCTCGTGTTATGCAATACGAAATTTCGTATAGACAAGGCGAAAACCTCACATTCGTGGGAGAAACTTTCCTATTCGATCTTTTTTCATAACCACATATGTTGGATGGCTCTTGAAACGAATCAAGAGGTAACCCGATGCAAAGTTTACACAATTTTTGCGAACAAATTTTCAGACTATGAAACGTTTGTAACTCGAAAAGGTTCAACTCTATTTAAGGACCGTGTATGTTCAGAATGATCTAAAACATGTAATTCGAAACGAGAAAAACAATTATCTGTAGTTCGTTTTAAAAAATTGTTGACACTTTTAACTCGGTTACCTACCCGCAACCTCTTGTTTTCCAACAAACGTTATTAGAAAAAAAAATCGAGTAGGAAAGATTATTCCACGAATGTGTAGTTTTCGTCTCTTTTAATGCGTGTTGAACTAACAATTTTCAAAGTTTCTCAAACAAAACATACAGTGATGAGCCATTGTTGTAATTTATACATTTTGAGTTTCGTATTGCACTGGGTGATATACAAATTTAGCTAACAGTAGCTTGATTGCTGCTTTAATTTTTGGGTCAGCGCTTTGTGGTATAATAGAAACTTGTCAACTTAATATACAGGTTGTTATTATAAACGTATTAGCATATCTTAATGATCAATGGAAACATTTGGATTTAATCTCACGCGATATGCTAGTCGTTTGTACTAAATTTTTTCCATACTCCCATGAAATACACCTAATAAAAGTGAAGCTAGAAATTGATATGACAAATCACACAAAAAAGGGGACTAAATAGCATGAATTCCTATGAAATTATGACAATGATTTGAGATCACAGGTACTTGAAATGAGGTAATTTCATTGTCTCAAAGAAATAAAACTCTTACAATTGAGAAATCGACCTCAACGAGATAGTTACTCTTTACCAAAGCACTCTTTTTTCTGTGATCACTTTTTTTTCGAAATAGAAAGGAGGTTTGCGTAGAATTAGAACTCTTTGGATACCAGAGCTTCTCTTTTCACATCCCTCATTGCGTTTACTATTTGCAAGTATTTTGTATTCAGCAGTCCTAGTATGATGCAGATAGTGACAGTCTTATATACCGACTGATATACATACAAGTGCATAATTTTTCCCTTCTCCAAACTACCTGTATATTAAGGCGACAAGAAATGATATATAAATATTAACATACCTTATAACACTGTGGGTATTATCCTAAATGCCGTTAAAATATTTTAGACAGTAATCCATACTTAAGCCTTTATCCCAAATAATGAAAACAATTTCCAGAGTTTTGGAGTGAAATAATGTCAGATATATCTGTTCAAAGGCTCAGAAAAGGTGATGCAAAATTACAACATTCATATTAACGATTTGATACAATTGTGTTCATTCAAGGCAAGGTATGATTTTTAGGGTTCGATCAGTTACATTATTTTGATTGAGGAAGCTTACGATCACTTGAAATAATGTAGATAGTGAAGATTCGCAAAGCAATAAATCATCGCTAAAAAGGTTATTTCTCTCAAATCAATTGTCCCAATGATTTAATATTTGAAACATCGGAAAATTACCATTTTCAAACCTCTCCCTCCCGTCCCTAATGAGTATTTTAAACGTAGTTTTTTGAGGCAATTTTTAACCTTACTTTTGCTTTTAGCCGACTGTACGTGATGTCTAGATGTAAGCTTTTAGCGAATATTTCAAAGCTTTGTAGAAGTCTATGCTTATTGAACCTTTGAAGGTCCTTTTAGCTATTTAATTCTATGAATTCTTCGAAAGTAAGTAGGTATAATATTGCATCACCCAGAGTATTGTAGTTTTTGTTCTGGGGTTTATGAGATGTAATGTTTTACTATTTTAAGCCAACCAACAGTCTTTGGTATGTTGTACATTCACATCCCCAACAAATAAATATAATATAATGCAGTCGTTTTGGATCAATATGTGATGTTACTGATGCATACACGCACAGTTTTTTTTGTGAGGAATGTTGTCCGATATAAGATATAGAATGTCTGTCCATAGTTTGACATATTTTGCAAGCTTACAGCCAATATTAAAATAAAAATATGAACTTTGAGAACACTTAGGGCTGAATGCACAGTCGTTCTTTACTTGATGGCCCTTTATTGTGCGCCTAATTTGCCTTGACGACCTTGACAGGAGAGTTATCAAATATTTTATTCAAGAAAGAAGGTCGGCTTATTCAATATCATGTATTCTTGATTCTTTGCAGAGTCGTCAACTTCAAGGTTTCCTTATTTTACTATTTGCTTCAAGAAATGCAGAGGTCGAGCCATTTTGGTTCTCATTTACAGTGCTTTTAGAAAGTTCCTCCAAAATATCAGTACTTTATTTTATTTTTGTCTATGGATTCTATAAGTTAATCAAAATATAATGCCAATCTTATATATAAGCGACCTCTCTGAATGTGCAATAAAATAAGGATTTTTTTTAAATTGGCTGGTTTCGACATTTTTTAAATAGGCTTCAGCGACTATGCATTCAACATATTACACTATGCAGTAACTGTTGAGTTTCAATGACCTTGAGAATGTATTGTTTAGTATATTATGTTTAGGAGTATGCCTGCTAGTAGATTGCAAATACAGAAAAACTTGCTGTCACTTGCAATATTTCTCAAAATATAGTGCATGTATTGTGAGAATCCAGAAAATGATTATTTCAATGTATCGTTTTGAGCTACACATTTTAAAAATATGACGGTTGTGCTGTAAGGGCATATAGTATAGTCTTTAGAAAGATATGCTGAATAAAATGGCCGTCTCGTACGTATGTTGGTATCACTAACTAACGTGAATCACTAGAGTAAAAATGATTGCATATTTCTCACTATTAAAGATAAGCACTGCATATTTGATATGTTCAGCTCTTATATTTCAATTTTGCTTATAACACAACAAAAAATATACATAAAAACAGAGTAGCAGATCAGAACTATAAGAGAATTAAAGCAAGTAGAAAAACTCTGTATATTATAATCGCAGTGATCTAGAATAGAGAAGAGACAATTTACTCAGCATATATTAGAATACAAGCTACAACCATTATTTTGAGCTGAATATGGACGAATTTGATTCAGTATCAGATACATTTTTCACAGACAGGTAAAGTAAAACTCGTTCATGCTTAAAATGTACTCATAATAACATATTAATCTCTATATACATACAGAACACAAAAAAATTATGCTATTATAAGTTCTGATAAAAATTGTCCAACAGCGCTCCGCTACGGAGATACAGACCCCTAAAGGACGCTACTGAAAAGCGTTTTTTTTTTAACAAACGACAACATAATTCAAAATTTTGTGATCGTTGTTGTGTGGTGTACATGGAAAACAATAAACTCATTTACCAGGGTGGTCCGATAAGTACTTAGCCTAACCGCCCGATAGCGCCACTATCGCAAGAGAAATTTATTGTCGTGTCATGTCGAATCGGAGTCGTGGTTTTGTTTTGACAGCATGTGGAAGCGGGCGTGTCCGCAGATTTTAGAAATATGGAAAAAGAGCAATACCGGTCGGTAATTCGATTCTTGCTTTTGCAATTGGATTGCTATGTACGGTAAACTCTTCTCCTTCGATGGCGACCGTCAAAAATAGATCTAACGAGTTTCAACGTGATCGTACGTGGGTTTTTGACGAGCCACGACCAGGTGCCTCCAAATCCACTTTCTCGTATTGGCAGACCGCCGATTGAAGGTGCGCGAGATAGCCGAGACAGTAGACATCTCAAAAGACCGCGTGGGTCATATCCTGCATGAAATATTGGCCATGAGAAAGCTGAATGTGCGATAGGTGCCGCGTTTGCTCACTCCGGACAACAAGCGCAACCATGAAACCCATTCACAGCAGTGTTTGAAGGTGTTTAAGCGCAATCCGATAAGATACTGCGTCGTTTCGTGACCATCGACGAAACATGGATCCACTGGTACACATCACAGACCAAGGAACACTCGAAACACTGTACTTCACTCGAAGAACGTGCTCCCAAGAAGGCGAAGACTGTCCTATCGGCCGAAAAGGTATGGCCACCGTTTTCTGGGAGTCACAAAGTGTGATCTACATCGACCACCGGGAGAATGGCAAAACGGTCTTAGGGCTCTTCTATGCGGAATTATTGCAATAATTCGATACTGGATCGCAGAAAAACCTGTCCCATTTGGAGAAGAAAAAAGTGCTCTTCCACCATGACAACGCAGCGGCTCACACCTCCGCCGTTGTCACGGCCAAATTGGTCGAATCAGGCTACGAACTGCTGCCTCATCCACCGCCGGGCAGAGATTTGAGTCGAATGAGAAGATTATCGTCGCCACGGAGGCCTACTTTGTAGACCTCCAGAAAACGTATTTTACAGACGGATTGAAGAAGTTGGAGCATAACTGGGTCAAGTGCATCGAGCTAAAAGGAGACTATGTTAAGAAATAAATCGCCACTTCTCCCAAATTTTCGTTTTTCTTTTGTAGGCTAGGTAATTATCGGACCGCGCTCGTAGATCGCTAGGATAACATTTTTGAAAATCCTAATGTTTTAGCTGAAAAACTTATTCTTGTTTGATTACGATAAAATGAGCCAATTTTGACAACAAGGTTTTAATGTAAGATCTGAAGCTTATCATGTGGTTTACATAACGATAATCCCTCAGTTTTGCTTCAATACTGTTCCTATCCTATCCTATCCACTGCTATTACGCAAAAGTATGACTTAAATCTGGCGTAACCAATAAACTCATTCCATAGGACTCTATTTTATGGTGTCCTATATGAACATGAATACCACAAGATGAGTTTCAGGAGTTATACTAATTCCAATGAAAAACTAAATGGAACTGTATTGGAACTAGAATGTTTTTTTTCTCAGAAACGATCCATTTTATCGATTTCAAACAAGGGTACATTTGTTCAGCATTAAAAATGTTATCATTCAGCCGTTGATACAGTGATGGTACACCACGTTTTATAAAGTCATTATAGCCTAAGCAATATCTATTTTCTGATGATGTGATGGGCTTGCATGTACAAGAATGATGCGGTACTACAGCTTTCGGTCATAGTTCCGAGTATATTTCAAAATTTTTGTCTTAGATTTTGCCAATCTTACTTTTCAAAATGAATCAGCGCTACATGACTATATTTTGTATTCGGGATCAATTCCACAACATTTAGGTCGATACATTTTTTAAAAAAGTTATTTTTTGTAAAAGTTGGTTCGACTAATTGCGACACTGTTTTTTTTATGTTGCAATTGACTGGGTGAAAACATGTGATTATGGGTTTCCTATCACACTGCAAAAGGACATTTTGACATTTTTAATTATAAGCGAAAAAATCTTGAAAAACCGCAAAAAATGGCCTCAGACGCCTCTCCCTGTTCTATGCCCATTTAGAGGGAGACGACAGACGTCAAAGGCGTGCCAGTAGGCTTTCCCCAAATTTTATGAGCATTTAATCATACTCTGAGATCTCCCAAACAATAACACGACCCTATCGTCAACTAAATTTTATCACTTGGTTACTACAGGTGGCAAATATGTATATTATGGTTGTGAATATTAAATATTAAAATTACCGCAAACTGGGTCAAATAAATTTGAATGTGATTTTAGAACGCCATCATGTGAATCCCCCACTAGTTACGAAGCTGTCAAAATTTCTTTGAATTGTACAGTATCGTATTTGAGGAAACCGATTTATATAGCGTCCTTCAGGGGCCTATATCCCTGTCTGGCAGCCCCAGTGGTCATTTTTTCCAGAAAATTGTGGCATTATTTTTTCTGTTATGTATACCAGAGATTAATATCTTATTCTGGAACACCCTTTATATGAAGAAATATTTGGACCATTTTGCCTGGGAATCATTCAGACCGTAAAAATTGTTGGATACTAGAAATCCCATTTTTTATTCATAGGATAAAACTACTCATGAATCAAAAACAATAATAATTGCCATTCTATTAGCCATTGCGCTATTAATATATGTCTACCGACGAATGAAAACAAAGTTGGAAAAGTTGTACGAGCCGAGATAAGGAGCCAGGAACAAGTTTAGTGTTTTGTGAAGAGCCAAGCATTTTCAGAAGGTAGAGAGCCGACTGAAGATGAACCACGAAGCAGAAGGCCGACTTGTACGTTCAGATCGTCGATTGGCAGTCAGAGTGACCGGGGAAGAGTTCAAGTTTGACTCTTACCACTTCATCAGGTTTTGACCAGTGAATTGGGGACTAGAAAAATCTGCGCAAAAATGGTTCCAAAAAACCTTTAGCAAGACCAAAAGGACACCAGGAGGAAGAGTGCCTTGACTTATTGGATTCGATTGAACATGACCCAGATTTTCTGAAACGTGTCGCTACTGGTCACTACTGGTGACGAGCAATAAAGTCGGACTAGAAAAATCTGCGCAAAAATGGTTCCAAAAAACCTTTAGCAAGACCAAAAGGACACCGGGAGGAAGAGTGCCTTGACTTATTGGATTCGATTGAACATGACCCAGATTTTCTGAAACGTGTCACTACTGGTGATGAGCAATAAAGTCGAAGTCGAAGATTGAAAGCATGCTGATTTGTTTTTTCGATATCCACGGAATCGTCCACAATGAAAAACGGCCAATCAACACTTTTACTGGGTAGTTCTTGAAAAACTCCGAAAAAGGGCCATTCGTGTGAGACCAAATATCAAGGACAATTGGTTGTTACAACACTATAATGCTCCTTGTCACACAGCAATGTCAATAAACGAGTTTTTGGTCACTAAAAAATATTCCTGTGGCTCATCAGCCTCCTTATTCGACTGACTTGAGTCCTTATAATTTTTTCTCTTCCCGAAGTTGAAAAATCACCTCAAGGTAAGTTATTTTGGGACAGTCGAAAACATTCAAACTGCTGTAACCGACGAGCTGAAGGCTATTGCAGTATCGGAGTTCCAGCACTGCTATGAGGAGTGGAAGAACCCTCTCCAGTGCTGTGTGGCTTCAAAAGAACCTTGTTTTAAAATTGTAATTAAATTTGGATAAAAAAATTAAAAAATCAATATCATTACTTATTGGTAGACCTTGTAATATTGTGAGACGTGAGTGAAATGAAGTTAAAGTATTAAATTAAGCATTAATTATGGTGTAAGCAGGAAATAAGATTGTACTTGGGATAATGAATTGAATACACTTTATAGACAACGAGTGAGTATGTTTTCTTAACCCTGAGACTTGATCACCCCTGTCTCCCGGTATATCACCTTCTACTAATCAAATTTTTGCCAGGTTCTCTTTTTTCCTCGACTATCGCCTAGAGAACTTCCCATTGCCACAAAAACGTATGCATCGGTATTATTATTTTTGTATTGCTCGTTTTCACCAGTAATTTTCAAAAACATGTTAATTTCTACGGAAAATTTCCCCTGTCGATGTTCCTCAGGCAATGGTTCTAATATCAATTTGCTATATATTGGGAATATTCAAAATTATATACTTATATCTCCACATATTTTGTGACAATGATGGGTTATAATATGTAGTAACTAATTTCAGAAAAATATATCAAAGGAGGGACTAGTTCCACAGGATATCCAATAAAATATGAGCTTTATGATAAAGTTGAGCTAAAGTTTCACCTAACAACAACCTTTTTCTAATCTATTTTACGCCACCTAGTATAAACAAATCACAGCATGAGGTGACTAATACTATTTACAAAATATTCAGATAAGTGTATATCTCACAACCTTTATTAATTTTGTGTGCTGACAATGATTGAAAAATTGGTTTAGTGTGACTCACAGTTCAAGGAGTATGAGCAGGGGCCATAATGTTTTACCATTAGACTAGGAATGTCTACAATTCCAGAAAAAATATATACACGCATTTTACAGCGGAAATATAATCACTGACAAAGAGAAATAAAACGTATAAAATGTGCATTCATGTTCGATATTCTAAGAGCAAAATGGCGTCAAGTAGATTGACTTTATACTTCCCACGGGTTCGAAAAAACGTCTGGCATGCTTCTTCATGTAGTGTAACGACATCTGAAAGACGTAGGTTTTGTCATAACTAGAAACGCACTGTTTGGGATTTTCATGCAAACATTTTCCTCAGATTGCAGCAGTGAGCGTATCCGTACACGCGAGCCTCAGCTCTAGTGTAAAACTGCCTGTCAACAATGTTTGATAACTGATTCTGTTAGCTCTTGCTAAATACTTATATTAAGTCATGGAATCAAATAACAGCATAGAATAACATTCCAAGCCTAACGCTCATAAATATAAATAACATCGCGTCCACCTCCTGTGTCTCCGCGCTGCTTGCCTGCTCGGATGAATAAATTATTGAACCGGTGACACACCGCATAGGCGATCCGTTTTTAGGGCAAATGAATGGCGAAATATATGATGTGTGAAACATGTCTAATTGGTACGTAAAAAAACCGGGTTTGAGAGTGTATTAATATACTAACATCAAAGAATTGCGATACATCCTCCTCCACCCCTCTACAACCCCCCACGACCCAACTTTTTACCCCGGAGAAATTTTTCAAAAATGATCAGGATCCTCTGAAACGGTACATTGCAAGTGATAGGCAGTTCAAAGATTAGCGGACAGACCGACGGAAATGAGTGACAGTTTTTCGTGGTATACATCCAAAATACATATATCACTTTCGAACTTTTTCGCGATTACAATACTTCACCGCCAGTAATCGTGGGAAGTAAAAATGATCCTAAAGTCATCCTGGAAACTGGTACATAAAAGCAGGGCCCAGAAAAAATGGTAGAGTCAACTAAACTACACAGCGGATTAAGTGAAAGAACCAAAACAAGTATTTCGATTGCTTATTATGTTTTCATATCGTTCAGTGTTGCAAATTTTGGAGTCCGGTTTGTTATTAAAAATCGTGCATGATAAATAGCATTTTGGAAACCTTTATAGTCAAAGGAAGCGAAAATCTAGAACGAACATTTGGAAATAGTACATATCTAAACAAAATAAATATTGAGATGTTAATTTCTGTCGGTATAAATTGTGACGCCTGTGGTAGGTTTTTCTTTCATGTATAAGACCATTGGGTTTTTCCTGTTTCAATTAGGAATTGAGTATATGTTATACGTGTATTCGCTTGGTAGACTAGCTCTTCTTAAGTACTTTTTTATAATGTTCTGCCCTTAGAATATTAAACATGAGCATAAAAATGTGGATGGGTCATCTATTTCCTTTGTCATTGAGTACATATCCTTGAGAACCAATGAAAATTATTCACATCTAGAGATATAAGAAACGATTAGTGTCTATATGCGCGATCTTTGTCCCTGAAAATAACTATATTTTCAAGTTGATCATATATATGTATTTAAATATATTACAACGCATGTATTTCAAACTTTCAACATTTTATCATGGATTTTAAGAGAAAAGTGTTGAGACCACACGCAAAAATATATCAAAGTTTAAGATGCATATGTTGAAGGCCGAATTTTGGACAAAAATGTCAAAATTGCAAACTTCCGACTTTCGAGTACTAGAATAAAAAGAAAAATGTTGATCAAAATTTAAGATGCATATGTGCTGAAATCTTCAAATGCAAAAATTCTATAGATCGATCAACTTGAAATATGAGTTGCTTTCAGATCCGAATTTTGGACAAAAATGTAGAAATTGCGAACTTTCTGCTTCCTAGCCGAGTACTAGAATAAAATATTGATCGAAATATAAGATGCAAATGTACTAAACTATTTGAATACAAAAATTCCATAGATGCGATCAATTTGAAATTTGAGTTATTTTCAGGGCCGAATTTTGGGCTAAAATGTCAAATTGCGAACTTCCGACTTTCAAGTACTAGAAAAAAAAAAGAAAAATGTTAATCGAGGTTTAAGATGCATATGTACTAAAATGTTCAAGTGCAAAGAATCCATAAGTTCAATCAACTTGAAGTTTGAGTTATGTTCAGGGCCGCGTATAATCATTGATCCTTTTTCTAAGTAGCTAAATCCGGAAAAATCAGGTTTTATCGTATATCTAAAAACTATGAAGTAATGGTAAGAGGTCTACATAAGAGATGTACGAAATGAAAAGGCCTTCAAAGTGAGAATTTACCGCCTGTGGATTTTTTCATTGAAGTATCGAATCGAAAATTATTTTCTGGATCCTCATATTACAAATGATAGTAATATAATATATAATAATAATCTCATAGACACAATGCCAAATATATTCGTCTGACACTAATGCTACGTACTTAAGATCTATCCTACATTGCTGTTTAAAAAATATCCAGAATTGCACATAGATTGTTCGTTTTCACTGACTACTATAATTATACCTAATATGACCATAATACATTTCTCTTCTAAACATACAAAATTATAGCATTTTGTTTTTGGAAGTTATGAAATGCACATAAGCTTGATTTTAACATTTCCTTCTATGGCAATTCTGGCACTGAAATGCCGATCTGGAGTATACTGTGACTTTCAATGCCTCGAGAAAGTAGCAATTCAAGTTAAAAAAATATGGAATTTGCAATCAAGAGCTAGAATGTATGCCAAATGTTCTCGCAATGTTCGGAAAAATTAGAGCATGTGGCAACCACGCATATACACAGAGTGTTGTAGATTGTTGTGAGGAATTTTAAGAGCAAATTCAACATGTCAAAAATGTGAAACTTGGTAATTCCTCGTTTAAACTGTGTTTCGCGAAAAATTGTGCGCCAATTGTTTTTGCCATAATAAGCATCGTTTTCTCAAAACCATTTTGATTCTGCTTGAACAGTGTCTCCAGGAGTTTTTTGTGTCCGTTAATAAAGTACTAGCCTGATTACTATATTTTAATAACGGCATACAGATAAATGATAAATGGCGAAAATCTCCAGATGGCAGTTTTTAAATAAAATCAATCTGGCTTCAAGAGAGTAGTACCGCATGCTTTGAATGCATTAGAAAACAATTTTGACATCCTAAGCTGAAATGGAAAAATGTACAGAAACGAAGTATTTCAGAACCTATGATTGCATTAACTTTTTTTCTTATTTCAACGTGTTGAATCTGCCATTCAACTTGCCTGCTAATATTATGTAACACCCTGTACACTCTTGAATTTAGTTTAACAGCCAAGCTTGCAAATAGTGCTAGCTTCCATGTTGAGGCATTGAAAGACGGTATGACATTAAGACCCTCACACACAAACATTCGTATCTCAACAAAAAAAAATGTGGTACATTCATCTGCTATTATTATTTTCTCTAAATATAGTCGAACTAATAGTTATTTATACGACAAAGCACAGATATGATCTATCACGAAAGCTCAGCGCAAAAAATGTTTTTTTTTGTGCTAAGCGCAGTACTTTGCTTGTATTGTCTTCAGTCTGTAGAACTTATACTAACAATAAAAAATATATTGATCTGCGGAAAGCACGATCAAACTAAAAACAATTCCCAAGGACAGTTCAATATCAACTACAAGTAGGCACTTTCCGAACCTCGGTATATGTTAATTTAGATGTATACTGGATTCTCCTGTCCGGTAAGCAAACGAAACATGGAAGTCGGCATTGTTTTCATCAAAATCTGAAAACAAAATAAAACATATACAGTGCTTCAAAACTGTCCCCTAAACAGCTTGTTATGGAATGTGTTTTAGCGTAAGCTTGTTAGTTGAAAATTTTAAGATGGCCGTTGGGTTGGGCACATTCAGATACACCTTCCCAAAAGAAGAAGATAAAATATGGCGTTTTGATGTTTAATTGTCATCACATCACTCATTTTACAGACCTCGTAATTTGTGTGCTAAAGTAAAAAAGGCAAGTTGATTTTTTAATTATGTTGGTACATTCCTATATTTTTTTATCAAATTTTATGTTATCAATTTTCTTTTTATTATACAATCAATTTGTCTAACCTCACTGTGGCACTGTGTATCAAAATGTTATTTCAAGTTTTATTTAATATAGTCATGTATTTTAAATTTTTTTTATATATTTTTATAACTGAAAAATCAAGTCTAAAGTACGCATATGTTTTTTTAGTTGGAATAGTCAAAGAGTATTCATATATAAATGAATCAAGGTATTCAAATCAGCGGTAATCGAATTTTTTTTGTATTCGCATACAATTTAAAATACGGCATTCACGATTCGTATTTGAATACCGGATTTTAGTATTCGACCGAAGTGTGGTGTCCAGGTATCACCTTTGACTATAAAGGGCTATTTTGCATTCCAACATATTTGATCTTATATAGGAGGTGATACCACCTTCCAAGCTGCTTGACTATCAGATCATACATAAAAACGGTATCAAGTAAATTGCCTCAATGTTTACGCGTAAATTCTATCGCAAAAAATTGATGCCAGAACTATTAGAGCTATGATATTTAGGAATATACTGAAGTACTTACTTCACCAACAGAGGTGGCTAGCAAATTAACAATTTTTTCATGTGGAACTGCAACTACACTTTGGTTATTTATTTCTATGATTCTGTGTCCCACTCTAACACCACCTCTCTCTGCAATACCTCCTCTTAATAAACTACAAATCTGGAAAGAAAAACAAAAATTATATCAACAATGTGAATTACAAAATTTCTTTGTAAGTGCCCATTTACACTGTATCAAACAATAGAGCATATGAAACCCATATCTGTATATTTAGCTTTAAAAAATAATAGTTTCGACACAGTAGCTCTTACCCAGGGGTGTTGGCGGCCCAAAAAGTGACATTTTCAAAAAATAGTGAGAAATAGTGAATTTATACAGAAAAATTGAGTTAATTTTCTGAGAAATCGAATATCATAACGCCAAACTTAAACAGGTAATATAAATAACAATGTGTGAAAAAACGAGAATAACTCCAATTAGGTTTTTTACCGTTTTATCGAGCCATAAAAGAAGCATAAAAAATATAACAGCTAATTCTTGTAAATGCGGGCGACGTACTTATATATATCAAGTATTCTTGCCTAATTGATTAAACCTACATTTTAGCGAACTAATGTTAAAAAGTTGAAATTTGATATAGTTATTATAGATGAGTATTTTTAACACAATGGTTGACTAAATCATCAGACCGTACGACTAGAGCACTTGTTATTAGAAATCAAGCGAGGCTCTATTCCATGGGTTCCCATGGCCACTTCCTGGCTTCATCATCTGATCATCTCTATCTCACTGCATCGTCGACTGTCATATTAAACGTCCGCCATATTGGATTAGAATGATGTAACTTTGCTTATTGTGTTTCTTTCATCAATCCCCTTTATTTGATATCCATAATATGGGGGTGACTACGGAAATTATAAATCGACATTTTGCTGTGGCCGCCATATTAGATCTAGAATGACGTCACGTTGCTTACTGTATCTCTCTCATCAAACCATTTAAGTCGATAACCATATCATAGGGGTAACTATAAAAATTAAAAATGAAATCTTGCAGCGGTCGACATATTAGATTTGAGATGACGACACTGCTTATTGTGTTTCTCTCAAGGCCATTCATCTGATGCCCATATTAGAGGGGTGACTATGGAAATTATAAATCGCCAAATTGTGGTTTCCGTCATATTGGATTTAGAATGACGTGATATTGCTTATTGTGTTTCTCCCATCAAGCCCCCTCATCTGATACCCTTATTATATACTATGAAAATGATAAATCGCCATATCCCCATTATGTAGCATACGCCATATTAGATTGAAAATGGCGACCGTTAATTCATTATGTATTGTCACACGAACCAGACAGGCATACAAAATTTCAGCTCGATTGGTTAAGGTTAATTGGTTCAAAATTCAGTTTCAGGATTTTTCCCACACATGCATACTAACGAACTAACATACTAACAGTTACTTGCATAAGGCTTGTAAAAAGTGCCAATGTTAATGCACACTATATGTAAATTCCTGGTCAAATTGAGCCAGGAGAAAATATAAATGGTTCAGGGTGAACTCATATTTTCTGTCTCTCTAAAAATACTCTGAATTGCTAAACTATCTACGTAACATTTTATTAGTTACCTAAATGCGCAACTTTGCCTTCATAATCGATCTTGTATTGTATATACGTTGTAAGTACCGCCCCCAAAGCACCATTTTGCATTTTGGGAACAGGAAGAAGTCGCAAGGGGCCAAAATCGGGCGAATAAGGCGGGTGTTATGTCACGGTGATTAAGCTTCGGGCCAAAAACTCACGCACAACGAAAGACGTGTGAGCAGGCGCGTTGTCGTGATGAAGGATCCACCTGCCCCCTTGTGCCAAACTTCAATGTAGAAATTTCCGTTCACTGTCTGGCCGGGAGGGACAAATTCCTTGTGAACAATGCTCCGAGAATCAAAGAAAACAATCAACATCGTTTCCACATTAGACCTTGATTTTTTAGACTTTTTTGTTCTCCGTTTCCCTGCTTGCTTCCACTCCATGGTTCGAGATTTTAGCTCAACATCCAATTCGTCTCCAGTGATGACCCGGTTGAGAAATTTCCCCCTTTCCTCTGCTTCCAACCAATCCTCACAGCAAGCAACCCTCCTTGGTTTCTGTTCTGGAGTCAAGAGCTTCGTAACGAGTTTTGCGCACAATTTCTTCATTTCAAGTTTTTCTGTCAGAATTTCGTGGACGATTGTTTCGGGGATTGACAGTTTCCCAGCTATCATTCTGCCAGTCGACGGTCTTTAAGAGCACAGCCCCGAATTCGTTCAACATTTCCCTCAGAGCTCGATGTGGAGGGGCATCTAAGCGTTGGTCATCTTTCACATATTCTCGGCCTTCCCGAAACCTTTTCAACCACTTGTTGACGGTTGGTTTCTTCAGAGAATTATTTTCTCCGTAAACTTGTTCCAAGCACTCAAAAATCTCACGACTATTCTTGCCTAGCTTTGCAAGAAACTTGATGTTGATGCGCTGTTCCTCGATTCTAATCCTAGTAATTTTTCATGTAATACATATTGGCTCTGGGGAGAACCCTGTGCATGGACAACTTTTCCATAGTTAATTTTTATAAACAAAATTCATTCGATTTAATTTCGCGGGGCTTGAGAGAACGAGGACAGCTCCTTCGAAGACGTTCATAAACCACTTTATGCACAGCGAAAACGAAAATGGAAAATGTGAGTCGCCAGCATCCCTACTTACCCCTTATTTCGACCCCATCAAGTGTAAATTTTACAACAAAATCGTGATTACAATGCTTCCACGCTAGTGGTGTGGGAAGTAACATAACACTGGCAAATGCTTCCAGAATCGTAAATTCCAGAAACCTTCATAATCATAATCAGCCTCGACTTACCACTCCATTTTGTACACTGAACCCAAGCTGATATTTGGTGTCGGGCCTCTTGATTTTGACCTCGACTACCGGAGCACACGGTACCACGGTCAATTTGACCACAGTTTGATTCTTGGAGTTCTTGATGTACGTCTGACAAGTGGACAATGGCAGTCCTACAAGACTAACACCGTTTATAGCAATTATTTGGTCGCCTATGTTCAGTTGGCCACATCTAGCAGCTGCTCCACTTGGTGCCAAATTGGCTATCACGACTGTCGGTAACATAGAGCCCCAACCTGATTCTACTATCACTACGCCTAGGATTTCGCCTTTGGCCTTTGGAACTACTACCTGGAAACACACCACGTTTCAGCATATAATATCCTAAAAAAATGTACATCAACTTTAGCAAAATCATTGAGCTATATGTTTAATAGATCACTGCAGTCGGAAGGATTTCAAAATTACTGGAAACAAAGCTTTTTAACGCCCATTTTCAAGTCAGAGAATAAAAATGTGGAACTATCGTGCAGTGTTATTCAGTCATCTATCCCGGAATTGTTGGATTGCTTGATGGATACATAGATCTCTGCAAAATGAACTTAAAACCGTTATTGTCGATCAGCAGCCAGGTTTTTGTCAGGGCAAGTCAAGTTGTACCAACATGATGTTATACAGTAACTATTTGTGCAATTTAATTGTTCAAATGTTTTTACTTCTAAATCATACGAAATCTTTCAAATTACTTTTAGTTGGTCTCGTTCTCCTATTACTTATTCTTTCTATTAGCATTAACGGTAGATCTTTACAAACTACAGCACTGGTCAAGGACTTGGGAGTTATTTTTGATTCAAAATGTTCATTTAGCATAGATATTGAAAAACATTCAACTGTGTATATAAGATGTTAGGTTTTATAAATCGCCATTGTGTTGATTTCTCACTTTTTTCTTTTAAAAGTTTGTATTGCTCTTTAGTTCGTTCGTTACTTGAGTATTGCTGCTACATCTGGCCCTCAAGCTATAACTTACAGATCAACCAATTTGAGGGCGTGCAGAAATTTTTTTGAGAATCTGTAAATATAAAATGGCTTTCATTAGGGAAGAGTATAGTTATACTAAAACATGAATATGACATCTCTTGAGCGATGCAGGTTGGACCGTGACTTACTTTTATTGCACAAAATTATTAATGGTCAAATTGATTGTCCCCAACTGTATGCAAAAATTTCGCTTATTGTGAATGATAGGAGAACGCGACATACAGATACTTTCTTTGTCCCCTTTCATCTAACAATATTATGGTTTAAGTGAACACATAACTCGTCTTCTTAGGTTACCTAATAGAGATGTATATTATATCTAGTTTAGAAGTATTTGGAACTTCTGTCTGTGTCAAGTGTTAAGAACATTGCAATGTAATTCTTTAATCAATTGTATCTGTAACAAGGGTTCATTAAATGAATAAATAAAGTAAACTTAGAAATAGCTTTCTTACAGTAGTACATTAATGGGTGATTCATTTTATAATAATATTTTATTTCAGTAAAATAACAAATAAATAGAAAATCAAATAGACTCGTGGCGAAGTCTAGCCGCAGGCTACTCTACTTAAAAAAGAAACAATTTAAATTAAATAAACAATTTTGCAGTTACTACTTATTATCCACTATTTCAGATTCAATTTCACAATATTTTTGTACTTTAAGGTTCATTGCAAGATCATTGAATATCTACACAATATATATGGATTCTACAACGAGTGTGCGTTGGATTTTGCATCCCGATATTTCCCTTTTCTAGATAGTCTAATCATATTAGACGAAAATACCCCTGGTTTGCGAAATAATTGTAAAGTCTGATTTCATTTCTGCAAGTTGTTCAAGGGGGTATTCAAAACATGGGCGCATAAAATGGGTACACCAATTTTTGTGGGAAAAATTTTTATTCGACAACAAAGAATGAGAAAACGTGTTTTTTGGGATTCAATCAAAAGTGTTGGCAGGATCGAAAAAACTCTTCATATGGGATTTTAAGATATTTATAAGACCTACAAAATGAGACAACACGTAAAAAAATCCGACTAATAGCAAAAAAGTTATGACCGAAAACCGAGGCAAACTGCTGGTTTTGGCAATTGTTGATAATGCGACGATGGTCTCTCGCATATATTTGAAATTCTTCAAATTCGTAGGATTCGTACTTCTAAATAACCACAACAAAATTGGAGTAGATTCGTCAAGTATTTTTTGATAATTTATAATTGTTTATCCCAAAACACCTGTTTTCCGGCCAGCCCTAGTTTATTAAGCAATATAATATACAGGGTTAGTTGAAAGGGTATTTTCTAGCAAGATACACTAGTTTACCTTGCCAGTATGAATCGCAAACCGTTCCGGAAAATCAAATGTTATTTTTATGCAAAAAAGGATGGGTCACGTTTTTTCTTCTAAACAAACTCAAACATTTCGTATTTGTGAGTAATTCGCAACAAAAGACGATCGACTCATCCGCTTTGTTTTAAAATGTGTATAGTAAGGTATGTTTCCGAATATCGTAGCACATTTGTTCAATTACTTGCAAATAGATGTTTGAATTTGTTTAGAAGAAAAAACGTAATCTTTTTTTTCTCGTAAAAATAACATTTATCTTTCTGAATGGTTTGTAAATTATATCGGCAAGGTAAACACGTGTATTTTGCTATTAAATGCTCTTTGAACGAACCCTGTATATTGCTCAATAAACTAGTAGTGATGGCGGGAAAACGGGTGTTTTGGGACAAACAATTAGAAATTCTCAAAAAATTACTTGAACAATATACTCCAATTTTGTTGCTATTATTTAGAAGTATAAATCCCGAGGATTTGAAGAATTTCACGTAGTTGCATGAAATTATCGTCTCATTAGCAACAAAACCTGCATTTTGCCATAACATTTTTGCTATTAGTTGGATCATTTCACGTGTGGCCTCATTTTGTAGGTCTCATAAATACCTGAAAATCTTATATGAAAGGTTTTTTCGTTCCTGTCAACATTTTCGATTGAATCCCAAAAAACACGTTTTCTCATTCTTTGTTGTCGAATAAAAATTTTTCCCACAAAAATTGGTGTACCCATTTTATGCGTCCATGTCCTTGAACAGCTTGCACCAATGAAACCAGACTTTACAATTATTTCGGGGAAATTTGCTAATATGATTAGTTTAATATACCTAGCATTCAAAACATGTTTTATAGTTAGTGAATCTAACAACTGATTTTATGAACACCTGATATAAGTTAAGTATACCACTTACAATGAATACTAGATCTATAGAATATTTTAGTTTCTCAAAAAGTATTTCTTTCAGTACCCATTTTTGTGCTACTCAGTCAGATTTTTAGACCTTACTTGAGGCTTCTTTGGAAACATACATTTTACAGTAGGCTGTAACAGTTATCACAAGCTGTCATAGATGTTAGAAATATTTTTTTGCTGGCCATATCTATTTAGCATATTGATAATAAAATTGGGACGATTTGTTTTATTTGTGCCAAATATCAATAAACACTGCAATTGCTTCCTCTAGTTACAGCCAATCATAGAGAAGTGAAAAACTGTTAAATAGGAACCAGTTGCACCGAACTGCTCTGCTGGTTGCAGATTGTAGATTGCGTCTGTCAGATTCAACTACTACAGTATTTCACAAAAAAAAAAACATTTTATTCCCAAATTTTATATCAAGAGGGTTGTCTCATGCGCAATGGGGCGCTTCATCGCCGACACCGCCAGATACAAAATTCGTGTGGCCATTCGATTTTTGCACGCAAAAACGTTACCACCCACAGAAATTCATCGCCACTTGAGTGAAATATATAGGGAAACGCATACAAGCATTCAACATGTCATCAAATGGTGAAGAGACGGCCGCACGAACATCCGCAATGAACAATGAAGCAGGAGGCCGTCGATCTTCGAGGAAGTTGTAGGGAAGATTGAGTAAATCTTGCTCGAATCACGATCCGGGGACAGGCGGGTAAAATTCCTAAGGCTTCTGAAAAAGCTGAGACAGGCAATCCAAAATCGTCGTCAACAATGGGCATCCTTATATAACTTACATTCAAACACTTCAAAGCCAGCTTATTAATGAACCTAAATCTTTTTGGTCATTCATGCACAGTAAGAGTAACACATCTAGAATTCCTAATAAAATGTTCTACCAAAATAACTCCTGTAATGACCCCGTATCAATAGTCAATGCTTTTGCTGACTTTTTTCAGAGTGTTTACTCTCCACCGGGTGATCGTGTTATAAGTGATGAGTACAAGAATTGTAACAATGATATTCTTATTAATATAACATGCGAGTCAATAAGTGTAAAAGAGATATTAGATGCTCCAAAGAAACTCAAAAACAAATTTACATCAGGGCCAGATCAACTTCCATCGTTTTTCATTAAAGACTGTGTAAAGCTCTTCTCAACTCCTTTGTTAACAATTTTTAATTCAATTCTACGTTCATCGGTTTTTCCTGATAAGTGGAAGGTTGCCAAAATCTGCCCAATTTTCAAGTCGCAAGACAGAACCTTAGTAAATAATTACAGGGCGATTACTATACTGAATAATTTTGCAAAGCTCTTTGAAATAATATTGTATTCCAGAATTTACTTGGCAACTAAAGACCATCTGTCAGTTCATCAGCATGGCTTTATGAAGCAGAGATCCACTATTACGAATTTGGCCACGTTCGGTCAATATCTATGCGAGACGGTAGACAATAGAGGGCAACTGGATGTCATATATACTGATTTCACAAAAGCGTTTGACAAAATTGACCATCAACTACTTCTACAAAAAATTGAATACATGGGATTCAACAGAACTTATGTGGATCTTCTCAAGTCTTATCTATATACGTTCACATCTTTGACTTTCTCTAGGGGTTTTCATTTGTTGTATATGTATATATATATATGTATTGTATGTATGTATTTATGTGTATATATGTATACCTGTATATGTGTATACTCATATATGTGTGTATGTGTATATGGATATCTGTGTATATTCCAGTATATTCTGGTTTCCTAATATCTATTGATCATATTTATAGTTTCTTTTTTCTCTACTTAAAGCGCCTTTCTCTTTTCTGTGTTTTTTTTTTATTTTTGTTTCACTTTATGACACACAGACTGTGTAAATTAAACCATTGTATTATGTATTGCTCTCTAAATGGTATCTGTACTGTTGGGCAATAAATGCTTTATTATTATTATTATTATTATTATTATTATCCTCATGTCTCACAACAAACGAAAGACTCAATCGAGTGATTTGAGCGGGAAGTCATTGCCCATCCCCCTTACAGCTCTGAC